ATCTTATTTTTCAGTGCAACAGCAATGCAAGACGTTGACACTATCGATATTTGCCCCAATTACCGATCGTTTATTTATAGCCAATTCGAAGCAAAGCAGTGAGTTCATTCGTTGTCATTTCTTATCTCTAAGTTTGTTTTTTTTGCTTTTTGTTTGCTCTGATACCTTATCAAAACAATAAGAAACTGAAAGGTAACGAAGTCTAAATGGAGAGCACAAATATATATTAATTTTGAAATGATTTTTACTAAAAATTAAATTAATTATCTATATATTATAAGAAGACTATTTACATTTTATTTTTTTTTTGCTTATCCAAAAATAAAATGTAAATACTTAATATTATTTCACAAATGAATGTTTTGATAAAAATGTTTTGTTTTGATAAGTTCATTTCAGTTTTTATGTTTTTAAAGTTAAGCAATTACTCATACATCCCCCAAGATTTCATTTTTTCACTTTTTTTATCATGTCCATAAATTAACCCAACCAAGAAAACCGATAATAAAAATATTTATGTGACCCAAAGCCATATAAACCAAAAAAAAATATTTATTGTCTTTCAAACATCACAAAAGCCTATTATACCCTCTGCAAGGATATATATTATTGATTCACTTTTGCTAGATATACACACTTTTTTTACCGGCTGTGCATATATCCACCCACACACTGCCTCCTGCCCTTTGTTTTCTTGAAACACTTTTGCCAAAGCAGATTGATTAAACTTGTGGGGTTAAAAAGAAATCAAGCCCTTCGCTGACCCCTTCATCTCCACAAACCTAGATAACCCACAACTGGAAGTCTTGTGTTTTGTCGAGCAAACACAGCAAATGACTGTCAAGCCGGTTTGCTTTTGCTGAAATTAAGCTGCTGTCAAGTGCTTATCGTTTTGAGTGCGGTGGTTTCTTATGTCGTGATAGCACAAATCACACCGAATAAATGGGAAGAGATAACACAGGTCACTGAGAGCCAAAGAAAAAACGAATTGGGCCACAAGGTCAGATAAGTTTGTACATTTTCAGGTTTTACAACACTTTTCACGCAACGCCAATTAAATGTGCGAGTCAAGGTCGAATGATTAATAACGAAAATTACAGAAAAATTACAATGTGTGTTCCGGCTTATAAATTTACATTGTACTATTTGGGTTAAGTTGGTCAGTATCTGATTATTAAGTTATGTTAAATTATTTTAAAAAAATATATTAACAAGAATTATACATATAAGGTATAAGCCATTAATTATATGTAAATTACATTTTATAAAATGCTAATTAACCCGAAGTGCATGCAAAACAACAAACCTTAAAAGCTTTTTCTGATTTAAGATTTTTTTTTGCAAAAGATAGCATTGAGTGAGTTACTTAGGTGAAGTCTGTAATTTACTACATTTACTAGCGAATAAAGCACAATATATACAATTGCAAAAAATAAACAACACAGATAACTTAGGATAATTTTGTTCGTTTGTCATTTAAAAAAGTTGCAGTTTTTTTGGAATTTATCTCTCAATGTAATTTATTTAGTTTAGTATTACTCCAAAATTATCGTTAAAATTTCAAGATTGTTTCTGGAACCGCAATAAACTAGTGCTAGATATAATAATATAAATAACCGATAATAAAAAATTAATTATAAAGAATTTTATGGCTCTATTAAAGAGAGGTAATAAAATAAATGGGGCTGTAAAACTATGTATTTTACATGTTTTAATATGTTGAATATGATACACAGTGTGAAATCGAAACAGTAAAGTAATAAAAACCGAAGGTGTACACTGTAAAAAATGTATTAACTGAAAAAAACAGCATTTATAATCTCTTATCTAGAATAACCCTAAAGGTACTTACCATTGCAATACTGGGCGGCCAAATCGGATTCATCATAGCGACACCGCTTGGTGTACACCGGCTGGTCCACATCTGTATCCTCGGCAGGATGCTGACCGGGATTCACGCGCTTCTTGCAGCGCATTACTTCCAGGGGCAGGACATCCGGCATCGGTTGCCCAACCTCAATGTGATTGTTATTATTATTGTTGTTGTTGGCGTCGGTCATGAGAGTGACAGCGCGTGGATTGAAAGGATCCATCGAAGGACGCAGTAACCCGGTTTCGAAAGTGGCGGCTGCCGACGGATCGCCATGTGCCCAGCACTCGAAATTCGTCAAAACCATTGCGCGCTGCAGTGGAAATTCCCCAAAAAACGAAAGACCAAACTGTACGAAATCGTGCGGCTAACTGCAGGCGCGTACTTTATATGGACTTTGCGGGCTCTCGTTTGTTAATTACCGCCGAATATACGCAGCAATTGGCAATGGCTGAAATAAATTTAATTAACACACGCAAACGGGACGCGCGAGCTATCGGCCAAAATGAGACTGCGATGACGGCAACTGTTAAAAATAAACCAATAAGCAAGTTTTTACATTTTGCCGCGTGCGCCTTTTGATTCACGTTTGCTTTTGTTTTCTTTCGCTCCAGTGGGACCGCACTGTCGGTGTCGCAATATGCCCATCGACCCTGGAAGGAAAATACTAGATAGACAATGAATACAAATGCGGTCAAAACCATAGTGGCAAACTTTTTAATAATTTTAGCTTATGGCTATTTTAAAATATTTAATTTTTGTGGTTTTTGATGGGTTGGATATGTCTTATTTAATTCATAATTTTGACCGAAATTATAGATTGAATAGCAGTATATAGACAATTTCTGGAAAAATTGCCAACTAAACTATTTGTATAAAATCTTGATTGAATGTTATGTTATTTTGGGAAAAATATCATGATATCTGTTTAAATATTTTACGAAAATTGTAATTACTATATGTTTAAAATACTTTTCAATTGCCTGGTAAAAAATAAATACGAATAGTTTTTTTATATTTTTAATAATATTCCAAGATTTTTGGTTTTCTGCTTTCATTTCTTAAAATAATGACAGTAGTTTTTTGTCTAACATTAGTAATTTAAAAAAAGGGAAGAAAACCATATTTCTTTTGACTAAGGGGAGGATCAAGCGTGATTTAAAGCAAATCGTTTTATTGGCAATATTGCTACAATTTTTTTTAAATTTTTTTGAGTTTTTCCGGCTCGAGGTCAACAATTGAAAAATGTTATAAATAAAAGTTTTTAATTTTTATTTTTTATTATTTCCAATATATTTCGGTTGCACTTCGGCAACCGTCTTCAGGGCAAATAATTTTACACGTCTGCACCGTCGGACGTGGAGATTAATACTTTTTTTTTTATATTATGATTGATTGGCAATTTTAATTAGAAATATCCACTGGCCTTATTCCACCCCATACGACCCAATTAGCGTTTTATTTATTTTTTATTTTTTATTTATACTTAAAAGAAATAAAAATATATAAATCAAATAGTTTTTAAATAAAAAACAATTTTCAAGACCCAAACAATAATGTATTTTTAATTTTGTGAAAGTTAAAAATTATTGCAAATTAATTTCGATAATAGATATATGTTACAAAACGAATAGTCGAATATTTACGGTATATTTTAGTATTTTTGCATTGTGCAAACGGTACTACAATTTTATCATGTGATTTGTGATTTGTCAAATATTTCTGATAACCGAATGGCAGGTCAAAGCAAAAAACGAAATTAAAAGAAATTATTTCTTTTTTCAATTAACCCTGGTTCAATTCAGATAGTAAAATGTCTAACAAAACTAAGAAGAGCACCGGTGGCAACGGGGGTGCGCCGAAGCAAACCCGCCAGCAATCCCACGTAAGTAAAATCATTAGTTCAAATGCCGGCTAGCTAATCCTTTGTTTATTTTGGATGCCAAGGACTCGCAGGACTATAGCTCTTTCAAGACAGTCCTATTCTACTGCATGCTCATTGTTTTCCTGCCCGTGCTGACCTTCTTCGTCCTGAAAGGCTTCGTTCTGGATCGATTCCTCGACATTTCTGAAGTAAAAGTCAATATAGCAGCAGCCGTGGGAGCGGTCGTATCATTGCACATTGCTCTGGGACTTTATATCTACAGGGCATACTTCGGGGCACCCGGCTCCAAGGCCTCCAAAGAGGACTAATCCTCATCTACCCGGACTGTTTTCCCCATTTCCATTAACCATAAGTCGGAAAAGAACTCTTGTACATACATACTATATATACAAATGTTTACATGCCATCGAGGGAGGAGAAAGTTGCCTGTAAACCGTGTGTAATCGTTTTCCATTGCATAAGTTTCGATAACAGCGTGGAAAGCGTGTTGTCAAGTGTTTTGTGTGCATAATTTGTATTAAAAAAAACATAAATAAGTGAAAATGCGTGTGCTGTTAAGAAATTATTCCCTGATAGAGGCTGTCAAGAGACTTCTGCCAAGGCCCCGCAAAAAGATTTACAATCTGGGCGCCTGCTTCGAGCTGGGGGATATTCCTAAGGTTAGAGGTGGGCTTTACTTTACACTTTAGTTTTGCGGCCCTGTTTATTTAGGGTAATATTTTTCGTATATTTAATTCCATTAATTTTTATTAAGATGGTATCAGAATTTGCCTCTAACATACATATATTTAAATTCATAATAGGGACTCCAGTTAAAAACAAAATTGGTTTTTTATTATTTCATTTTAATTTTTCTATTTAATAATCTTGGTTAATAAGATAAGATATTTTTTACTGACACGTATCTAAGTTTATTATGTTGCCTTTAGAAAAACATATTGCTAAAAGTTCCCTGTAGTTAAATATTTAGTGCGCCTGTGAACTTTTCATAGAGCTGCCACCTGCTTACACCTAGCGTTGCCACCTGTTGGTATCACCTCCAACAGCTGTTTTATACAGCATGGGCTGGCGCATAACTACTTCGTTGGTGGGGGTCAACTTAAAATTAAGTTGGTTTTCTAGAAAAACAAATTGTTGATTTCTTATAGGACAATTCTAAACTTATTAAATATAATAACTCCGAAGACTGAGTTACCAAAAGTGTTTTTTTTATGTGTTTATTAATAAATAATGGCAGCCAATTTAATCCCCCTTTGTTACTCCCATGTTTTGTTGTGTTTTGCCCCACAAGTTGGTCCGAAGAATTTCATAAAATGATAAACTACTAGACCCGCCAGAGACATCACAGCACATGCCGCAGTCTGCCGCAAGTTCGTGCCGCAGACGCACGTCCTTGGAATTCTGCATACCTGGCGCTATTGATCGGAACCACCTGTTGGGGCAGAACACTCCCACTCGTCAAAACAAAATACTCAGCCACGTAGTCTTTAGTCAGTCGGTTCAATATGCTTCAACGAGCCACAAGAATTTGGACGCTGTGCGTGCAGACAGCTTTAATAGCCACCTTGGTCAGGAGTTCCATGCAGCAGAAAGATAATCTTGTGGGGCGCTCTCAGGTTAATTTAGGTTACAACTTACCAACTGCCTCTTAAGTACCCTCCTTTCTCTCAACAGATATCGTACAATCCCAGCGAGCTCTCGGAATCCCGCTTTTTGGAATACAGCAATCTTTCCGATAAACTGCATTTAAGAGAGGCCATCGAAAAAATCTTAATACCCCGAGTTGTGGGCTCGGGAAACCATACTATTGTACGAAGGTATATAAGCCAGACCTTGAGCGATTTGGGCTGGGATGTGGAGGTGGACAGTTTCCATGATGAAGCTCCCATCAAAGGAAAATTGCATTTTCACAACATCATTGCCACCCTAAACCCAAAAGCCGAGCGATTTTTAGTGCTCGCTTGCCATTACGATAGCAAGTACATGCCGGGTGTGGAATTCCTAGGGGCCACCGATTCTGCAGTGCCCTGTGCCATGCTCCTTAACCTGGCCCAGGTGCTCCAGGAGCAACTGAAGCCACTCAAAAAAAGCAAACTGAGTTTGATGCTCCTATTCTTTGATGGAGAGGAGGCCTTCGAGGAATGGGGACCCAAGGATTCCATTTACGGAGCCCGACATCTGGCCAAAAGGTGGCACAACGAAAAAAAACTGGATAGAATAGATATGTTGGTGCTACTGGATCTTTTAGGAGCCCCCGATCCCGCTTTCTACAGCTTCTTCGAGAACACGGAATCCTGGTACATGCGTCTGCAGTCCGTTGAGGCTCGACTGGCCAAGTTGGAACTCCTGGAGCGCTACGCCAGCAGTGGAGTTTCCCACCGCTATCCCACGCGCTACTTTCAGTCACAGACCATGCGATCCTCCTTCATTGAGGACGATCACATACCCTTCCTGAAACGGAATGTGCCGGTGTTGCACCTTATTCCGGTGCCATTTCCTAGTGTCTGGCATACGCCGGATGATAACGCCAGTGTGATCGATTATGCGACGACGGACAACCTGGCACTGATTATTCGGCTTTTCGCTTTGGAGTACCTGCTGGGCGGAGGGGAGGACAAGTAGTCAAGTCATGCCCCTTGGTGACTCACAAATGTTGTATCTAATTACGCCTTATCTAACTGACCTGTTCGATATCCAGACGCTGTTAAATGTTCTTATACCCGCCGTGGAACCCTTGTTAACTGACTGTGTGCTTCAAAACTACTTAAGCAGATCTGAAAAACACGGAAACCAAATATTTTTATACCCATGTATGTATAGTTCAAAGAAAAGATTGTTCAGCTAATGACACGTCAAATTGATATATTTTTTGTAATCTTTCGGTTGTCAATATTTAAGACTTATATAGTACAACATATACATAGTAAATGTAACTTAAAACAAATTTTTAGTAAACTAACTGCACTGGTGGGCAAAATTTAGTTCGTTTCTTGTCACAAAAGAGCGGAGGAAACAGCACCTGGTTATAAACTGTCCTTCGAAAAGTTATCATTGTATCCTGAGATTTTAGTTCAATGCAATTAGCTTTGTTTCTAGAATATAAAACGTAGTTGAGAATGAAAAATGTGCCATAAAATGTTCACAAAGAAAATCTTAAAGTTAAAACAATATGGAAAATGGTCCAATGGTTCAGATATATATGTCTATACTGAATTCTCAGCTGTTGTGATCAAGTTAGCCTACCAGTGCTATAAAGCGTCTCGTTTAAAAAAGGAGCTCCAACAGATATATGGCAAATTCGTAAACTTACTTAAGAGCTAGCTAAAATCGTTAAGCCTTGATTCAATACTATAGTTATTTAAGGTGAATCAATCGCTAGTCGTTAGAGGAGGTGGACTGTCATTTGATTCGAATGTATCTTCCTTCGATGAAGATGTACCCAAACAGGTCGCTTCCGTATCCGATGGCGTATGTTGCAGTTTAGGCATAGATTTTGCCACCTCCTGATCTTGACCCTTTAACAGCTGTGCTGCATTCAGTTCCTTGGGTTTCTCAACAACCACTACACTCAGTTCGGCGCAGGATTTCGATTTAACCCTGCCATGATCGTGGTCTTGACATTTGTCTGAAGAAGATGACTTTCTGCCTCCGGGAGTATCACAAACCTCACGGAGATCGGAACGGGAATCCCGGCAACAAACTTTTTCGATGCATTCCGCCGCTTGACATTGCATCAGGCATTCCAGAGAGGCAGAGGCGTTTTTGTTGGTGGACGGATAAAACTCCGGTTGAATTGTGACCGCTCCGATTCCTTGATCGTGGAAATATGCCCGCACCTGTTCGATGATCTTGAGGTAGAGTTTGGGATTCTGGAACTGGATGTGTATTGTGGCCACGTATCGATGGGCGGACAACTGCCATATGTGCAGATCATGGTAACTGATAATCTCCGGAAATTTAGTGACCAGTGTTCTCTCAAAGATCTCCAGATCGATGGAACCCGGAATGGTTTGAAGTAGGATCAGGCAGGATTCTTTCACTGTAAAAGAGAATGAAAAAATTTTAGACTAGATCAAGATTCCTTAATTGAAATTTTTTGTATTCTTTGATAATGTCACTTATTTAGGGATATACAAACATTTTATATTTTATTTCTATGTTTTCATTGTGAATATTGTAAATAAAAAACTGTTAAAAGTGGTCTAAAATTTTCTTTTTTTACTATTAAAGGAGAAGTTGTGCTGCTGCTTAAATTAGTTTGCTATAAATTAGTTAGTCCGAAAAGCTGTTGTGAATAATTAGTGATAAGGGCCATAGGGCCATTACCTTAATACTTTGGAACTTCTAAGATGTTATATTCATATATAATTTTTATGGTATGTACTTACTGTAAGGGTAACTGAGCGTCACCAGAAGTACACAGGAGAAAATGGAGAGCACGGGATCAATAAACTTGGCTGTGTGCTGCTCATCCTCGGCCACATATACGATTGCGGCACAAACAATCACAAAGATAGTACTCGACACATCGCGCAGCATTTCCACGGCTCCCTGGCGTTTGGTGGCGAAGTAAACACTACCCACCTCTGCCTCCAATTCCTCGCGTAACTGACGATCATTCCGGGATTTACTGAGTTGCTTTTGCATTGGGGTGAGAGATAGATCCAAATTGCTGGACATGGGTCTGTCAAGTACAACATTTCCTCCAGGTGTCAAGTGCAGAAAGCTTCCCTGATGCAACGTGTATCCTCCAATCAGCAGATATGTAAGTCCATTCAGGATTAGTCCCACAAAACCGAGCATCATCACGGGTATCGGGAGATGCATCGTATCCTGGTGGTCAATGTGGACTAGAGTTTGCAGAGCCTCCACAACCAACGAAAAGGATAACGACGCCAGGATAATGAACACAATCAGCATGGTCAATATATCGATCCTGGCCCAACCGAAGGTATTTCGTAGCTTCTGCTCCCGTCTAGCCTGGTTTTGTGCATCCGTTTCGGCCAGGTTGACAACCACCCCCGCTCCATTGCCATTGACCTTGGTCTGAATAAGAGGCGGATTTTGAGACTCCGGTTTTTGTTTACTATGCTGCAAGATTACAAAAAGAATGATCGGTTAAAAAATGTAATTTTAAAAATTATACACTTTACTTTGCAGTATTATAAATGAAAATACAGCACTTTATAAAATTTCCGAAAACACTTTAAATTAAAAAAGAACAGTTTTTAATCTCAATATAAATTAGGCAACACATCATGCCTTAAAGTTTATTTTCAATAAAAAGTAATTATAAGGTCACAATTTCGAACAAGTTTAATTAACGTATATTGCATTCTTATAAAACAAATTCTTCTGTGATTTATGGTTTGAAGTAATTTAAAAAATTCCCTTTGTATTTTTTATAATTGATCTAATAATGCCTGTGTTGAATAGACAACGTTAATTGCTTTTGTACCATTTTTTACAATGTTGTCCAAAAATGCCGAATGGAAATAGAATCAAATAGAGAAGTTCAATCATCGTCATGCTTTCTAAGCCAAATCATAACAATTGGCATTGGCCCATCTACAATGGCTGGCAGCTATTTAAACGCTCTGGTGATCGTCCGTCTGCCCCATTATATAAGCTCGGAATCGGCCCACACCACTGTCCACACCTACAACGCCGTCAACTGTTGGGAAGCTTTCGATTTCTGGTCTGTCACTCCGCGATTTTTGGCCAAGTCTTGTTTGGTTTCTGCCGTTTTGGGCCTCGTCTTTGTCTTTTGCGAAACGTGCTTGGCACGCTTTCCCATGGCGGCAACGATTTTTGCATCCATTCAATAACAAAATATTAGCTTTGGCTGCTCCATAAATTTGTAGTTGGACACTTTGCCTTTGGAAGTATTCACCTTGAATTTAAATCAATTCGTGGCAAATAGAAATGAAGAAAGAGATTTGAAGCGATGTCACGGCATTTTATTGATTATATATCGTTTGTTTAGATTGTAATATTAATAATAAAGTTTTGAAGTTACAAATACTTTTTTACAAAACAAAAACAGGCGGAATAAACGGTTTTGGAAAAAAAACAAAAAGTATTAAAAGAAGAAAAGGATTTAAAAAATGTTTTTTAAATTGTAATAAATAAGCAATTAGATTTGTGTTAAAATGCAAAAAATATGACATTTTATAATGGTTTCTTTTGAAACCAAACTTGTTTACTAAAAATAATAAAAGCTCTAATTGAATTAGCAATTAAATTGTAATTCCTTACAGAATAACACCTTTACTGCAATCTTAACAATCCCCAACTATCCAGATCTCATATCTATTGCCATTTTAGCTCTCCACCTAACGATCACCATAATAGAAGTGCTCTATTTCGACGTATCTTAACAAAAAAACTAAGGCAAAGTGAGTGTGACTGCAGTCTGTCCGATATCTCCGTGTAATCAACCTGATTTCATGTCACCAGCTGTGTAGACAGAGGCATTACACTTGAGTGGGCAATTACACAGCTAAATGCTGATAAGGCCAACGAAAAGGGTGACTAAATTGACCGATAAGCCTAAATTAAAACCAAAAAACCACTCCCTACCAAAAAATTTCAAAAAATGTTCGTAAATTATCGAAACAAAGTCCAAACAAAACCAGTTTTCCGCCAAATAAAAAATTGTGTTTGGAATGCGATCAATACATTTTTTGTTGTCCACAATAAAAGTTCAATGCACCAGCATCTGTTTCGACTTTGCACCAGCACGCGTCATTTCCTGGCCAAAAAAATGTAAAGCCGGCAAGCAAAATAAGCCAGACTAGTCAAACAACACAATTATTTTTTAAAAACAATCACAGAAAATATTTACTGTTGAAGATATTTGTTTTGAATCGAAATGCTACTACGCTTCGCGAAAACATTCAAAATGTTAGTTAAAAAGTTCAATAAATATAATATTATATATTGCTTTCCTAGGACTTTACATTTTTTTTTATTTAACAAATTAATATCAACGACATATCTTTCAGTGTTCAAACTGGTTGCTCCACTTACCTTAATCGTGATAACGCAGCCGCCGAGTGCAAAAATGTTGCACAACATGTGATGGGATGCCATCAGTAGAGTGAGTCCGTGCGTCAAGTGGCTGAGGATCAGCTGGAGCACGAAGTAGCAGATCGATAGCACCAGCACAGTGTACAGGGGGATCGGCCTGCACCGCTGGAGTATCTCCTTTACCGGCATTATCTGTTGGAAGAAAAAAGGGTTGATCGTTAAATATTTGATAATTTCGGAAATGACGGTCGGAGATTTCACCTACTTGACTTAATTTATTGCTTGAATAGTTTTGTAAATCGAAGAGTAGTTACAGAAATTATAGTTTTTATTTCAGATCATAAATAAATTGATCTTTTATTATTTGAATGGTATTTAATGTTAACCTTTTGTATAAATAACTTGCTGAAATTGAAAAAATGTTTCATTTATAACTTTCTTTGAGACTAAAAGGGATGAACCCCAAATTATCACTTATTGGTAGAACATTTTTAAATGTAGTAAATATCCCGTAAAATTTGTCAAAGTATAGAACCTCTATTTAAAGACTTTTTATTGGTACACCTTATTCGAACTGTGTCAAGTTCAAGTGTCCTAAACGGGTTAAACGAACTGAACCGATTTGGAGCGATACTGCACTGAACCGAGCTGAACCTGCCATATTAAGGGTTCAGCCCATGCCAACCTCGTATGCAAATCACCATCATGATCATCATCATGTGGGCCTGGGCCTGAGTATGAGCTCCTCCTGGGTTGCATGCAAATGAAGATGCTAAATGGGCCCGTTTTACCTGTGGCTACCTCAGCGTATCTCATCGAATCGATCGCCTCCGACATTGACGTAACTTTACGTGATCGTCAATATATGGCTACTGATTGTTTGTTGGCCGCCTCCCCCGTTTTTGTTTGTCGTAATGTAACCCCAAGGTTGGACCCTATTCGGTTGGTCATTTGTAATGGTTAAATGCCCCCTAGTAAAGTAATTATTGGGGTACATGTCGCGCTTTAATGGTCTTTTCGGAAAATCCAAATGGATATTAAAACTTTTCAAGGATCAACTCATTGTTAATGATTGGTAGAATTTACTACAAAGTTAAAAATGTTAATGTTGATCAAGAAGGAAATAATTAAAATCAAGAACAAAATTAAAAATATGACTAAATCAGTGGGTATTATATGAGATCACTGTCTTCCAATAAATATCAGCTTAAGTTATTTACGTTCTCAACAGCATTAAATTCCATCCAATCTCATATAGCAATTCCTGATTTATATCTGTCGCTTACATTTGGAATGCTTAATAAGTGTAATACGCAAATGAACATTATCAGCCAGCATTCTATTTTTTTTAATGATGCAACCTCCCCTGCACGGCGTTGACTCCTAAATGAGCCAATTGCATTCCAAATTGTCACACGTGCAATTGCAAATAATTGGAATCGATCAAATGATATAATCTATTGTTTTAGTACCCCCATATATTAGGCATGTAATTAAAAGGTAAGTACAAAAGCGCTAAATGGCGCCTCGGGGGAACTAGATTGTGCACCCTAACAAACAATCAAATGTTTCCCATAGTTCCAGCAGAGACATTGTAGAAATAACAATTAGCAAGATAATGCTGGACAGGTAGCAACAAACAATTTAGATACTCCCCATAGATACATATATATTTGGGGACGGCTACATACTGTATCTATCTCCCAGTTGTTCCACTTGCCACAGCCGCTAAATGTTCATTTCCTCAATTTGATTTCATTTTCATTGGAAATTGGACGAGGGCGGTGGGAGGTGGGAGGTAGGAGGTAGTGGAACAGAGGCTCGAACACGAGATAACAAAAGATAAGCGGAGATACAGATACAGATACTGAGACATGGGAAACCTTTGTTCGCCTATTGTTGCTGTTGTTGCTAGGGGATAAAGAAGATAACAAAGTGATCCTTCAGATAAAAAATGGTGTGATATGGATGGCATGCGGCTGTTAAGACTTGGACTGTAGGCTCTATAAGTCCACTCAAAATAAATATGTCTCATTAGGCCTAAAAACGAAAATGAGCTTAACAATCTGTGTAGTTGAAACCTTTTTTTTTCTGGTTACCTTAAGTACAAAATGTAACCAGAATTCGTTTTATCTTAAAAGGAAAAACTATTCTGCATAAATGTTGATTTTTTTTCAACAAAAAATAATAAAAATAATAATTATAAAGTTTTTATTACTGACAATTTGTTGAAATAAAATTAGGAAGTTAGTAATTCACTAATTTATTTTCTTGTTTTTTTAAAAATAAGGTAATAGAAATTTTAAATTCAACTTAATTTATAAAAAAAATGCTATATCTGTCCAAAAATTCGTTAAGTATTTACACTTTTCTCGAGTTGTCTTTAATCTTTATGGTCTTCCAAAATATTTTATTATCCTCGGAGTCCGATCATTGTGGGCTTGCAGTAAAACCCAGATCGTAAATCTGCGCCAAAAGTTGACAAATGGATTGTCAATTAGATCAATGCTACAACTCACTTCATCAATTGAAAAGCAAAGCTTGCAATAAAATTCGGGACCAATAACACTTGTTTTGATTTGCCATCAGGTGCATTAATTCTGTTTGTTGGTTTGTTTGATTTTTTCGTTTTGGGCCATTGCCTGCATACAAATTAAACTTGGCAACAAAAACCATTTGTACTTCGATTTTTGCGTAGATTTTTAAAATTGAATTAAAAAATACTTCCTATGCTGGTCCCTGGCCTGTTTTTAAAGCCAGCAACCGCAGCACCAGTTTATATTTTTGACCATTTGAGACACAATGACAAGGTCGCCGATGCCTTTGGAATTTCTAATTGGCAAGGGGAACAGATAGTAAGCTCGATATATTTTTAAATTCTACAAATATTGTTATTGTCTATCACTGGGCCATAGACAAAGTGTGATGCCAATATTTTATTACTTTGTTGTCGCTGGCAATTAGCTATAGGCTATAGGCATATTTGAACACTTTTCAAACGCGCCAAATGCAGACACCTGATAAGCAGACAGAGATAGTTGTCTAACCATCTAGCGCTATCTCACTTTCATGTGATTAAATGGAAATTGGACAGGTCTACTGATAAGACCGATTTTGAAAACAATATCGAAAACAACTCGGCATGAGGTGGGTTAAAATACCATCGCTAAACGGGGGATTCGATGGGGAATGTTGATAAGAAAACATGTTGCTACGCGCAAATGTTGCTAGGTTAGATAGGAAAATTTCTACACTAATAGGGGAGTGTTTTTTGATTCTCCAAGAATTTATCATTATGAAATAAGAAGCAAATTTAATACCATATTCGTATTAGCATCATAACTTATGAAGAAAGCTAAGACTTAACTAAATCCAAACTTGTATTTGTACCTCAAGTATTTTAAAATAACAAACACGACATCTTGGCTATGAAAGAATTATTTTTAACAGAAATCAATACTGTTGACAAAAATATCAATAAATAATAAATAAGTTTCGTGCATGGGTTGAATTATCTTTCATTTTTAATACAGTTGTGTTTCTGTAATAAACGTACTTTCGTCTGACTTCTGTCTGTCTTAATCAAAATAATGAAATTCAATACGTTTCTGCAATTTCTTTTCTTTATATATTTGTAGAGAGGACTGCACAGCCCTGACCACCTGTACATATTGTAGGCTGAGGCGCACAATTCAATGAAATATTTCCATTAAAATAAACAAAGAAGTGTAAATATTTTAATTACAGTTTTATGTACCACGATCTACGTGAGATCTGCGCCTACAAATCCATGAATGAGGCGCCTGGCCAAGCACTTTCCCTGCATCCTCATCAGAAACGTGATCAAGTGGAATATGTGAGATTTTTTGATGATATATAAACCCATTAAAATAATACTCAAATTGATATTAATGCTGATTACTAAAGACCCACTTCAATTACACTTAATGACTCGCCTTTGCAAAAAAATTTAATAAAATATAAACATACAGATGCGGTCGACAGATGTTATATATAAAACTATAATGGGATTTATTTTTTAGAAATTACGAATGCTTAAAAAACTTTTATAAAAAAAACTAAGTAGCTTTGTTATTAAATTAAAAATAAGTACATTTTTTGGTAATCAAAAATTATAAAAAGAACTTCCCAAAAACATAACATTTAGCTATTTTTATAGTCCTCTTTAGTGACCCTTTGATATTTTTAGTCTTTTAATTTAATTATGATAAAGTTAGTAATCTTTTATAAACGCCTTTTGAAAGGCAACCACTATTATTGTGACCAATTCTGTTTGCTTATATTTTCAACGACTAACGGATGGGTAATTGTTTATAATAACGCGTTGGGAACACGGCTGAGTTCTTCAGTACTTGAGCCAAGGCCCGGATCAATTTGCATTGAATTAGCTTAGAGTGAGAATTTGTTTTAAGCTCAATCTCAGCCCCGAGACGATTGGATCGTAGACAGATATAACCTTTAATTAGCGTTGTTTTCGATCAAATTTATTTTTATACCCCGCAGATGGTGTTATTTTAGCTTTAATAATTTTTTGGGATAATATTTTTTCACATCGGTGCCAAGGGGCGCGAGGCGTCTTAATAATCACTTGCTAAATGGATTCACAGTCAGGCTGCTAACGAATCAGTCATCTATGTATATATGTCAATATATAGCTACACATATCTAAAACTGCGGCATTAAGGTGTGTTTTCGATTCCTGTCCCCAGATACGCATCCAAATAATAGTCACACAAGGCCAAAAACTTCTTATCAGTCTAGACCCGTTAGTCTAAAATTGGGATTTTGGCAAAGAACTGGACATTTACCGTCGTTTGGCCTGTGATAACCGGAAAAATGCGTGCGTTCCTCGTACGTTGGCTATTTATAGAAGCTTTACTGTAAATTGCTTGTGAAAATTAGCTTTTCCTATTTTATTATTATTATATTCACACACACGCACGCACACGATTTAAACTATTTCGAGCACACGCGCGGAATTTCGGGAGCGAATTATCGAGCGTTGTTTACTGCAGCGCGGCTCAAAAACGAATGATCGCCAAAGCCGACGCAAAATATATAGCACACTAATTTGAGGAACGACGGAAAGGCCAGGTGAATTTGGCAAGCCGACTACTTTGTACACTTCCCGTTAATGTTATAAGTGTATTTAAAAATGGAAAAACATAGCTCGGATGATATTTAAAAAACTTTTTGATAGTTAAAACTTTCTTTTTTATTTTTTTTTATTTTTAAATTGTTAAGTTAAGTTTTACTTGCAAAACTGATAGACAGATTTTTAAAACTATTGTTTTATTACTAAGATACATCAATCAAAATTATTGTTCTTATAAAACTATTACTTGAAAGCAACCTATTATTACAGCAAGAAAGTTAATTTTGCTTTATTACTTCCAATTTCACAGAAATTAGTTTCAAATGGTATAATACAGCAAAAAACAAAGATTGACTTTCATTGCTAATGTTAATATGTCAAATCTAAGCATTTTTAAAAATAATTTTTAATGTTTTTTGAAAGGGTATGTTCTTGAATCTAACTGCCCCCAGCAATGTTATCAAATGCAGAGATGTATCAAAACCATAATACCCATTGTAACGGTATAAAAGACAAAGAGAGATGGTTAGCAACAAAAGCAATGACCACAGCCGGCAAAACAAAAACGGAATGCCCGCGAATTGAAAGTGAGCGTAAAATTGCACGTGTATGTGTTTTTATTGGTGGGTGAAGGGGGAAAAGATAACGTGAGGGAGAGAGCTAGAGGGAGAAAGCAATAGCGATAGCAATTGTGTGGGTGAAAAGTGCGTGAGGTTGAAAAATATCAGCTGATAGAGAGCAATAAGAGAAATTTAGGTAAAGAACAAAAAAAACAGGTAGGCTTGTGTTTTCGCGAGAGAGCTTGTATGTGCACGTCTGATCAAGTGTGTGTATGTATGTGTATACATTGATGTTATCTGGGCAAGTTTATGATACTTACATATGTATGTATAAACATGTATATATGTACATACATTTGTTTGTATGTTTTTACATCACTGCGAAATTAAATCCGCAATTATCAAACGCACTGATTTAGCTTATCAAACAAACAAATGAAACCTACAAATAGGGTGATTCAATAAAAAGAATATCCAGACGAAAATATTTTGCGTATACAAATCTGTAAACATTTATACACATAATGTATTTTTAAATTTCTTAAGAGCATAATTCTAAGCGACTTTTCGGGAAAAGATTAAAAAATTAATTTCACATTAATGATAAAAAAGGTATTATATATGTATGTACATACATATACATATTTATGTTTTTAAGTCCATGTTCCCAATTACAAATAAAAAATTCTGCATTATAAAAATAAACCTATTCAAAACTGAATGCTCAGACAAAGGAAATAAACCCGGTTCTAAATACCAATACTGTTATGTACATACGACGACGTCAATTCGCTAGAAGTAGTGTTATTTGTGACCTCAACAATGTGTATCCATATCAATAATTTTACCACAAGCTCACTTTTATTCAAATGCTTATCGGAGTTGATAGGAGGGTAATTAATCCTTGGTTGGTAGATTTTGAATAGATAGCACTCTGATAGTACGATGCTCTCGGGTTTGCAGCTCGAAGACAACTAACTAAATTCGTTGTCCACAAGCCGTGCCGAATTAAGCGATCTGCGGCCTGCAAATTGCAATTAAACCACGCACATTAGATAAAAAGTCGGCGGTTTGACTGGCTGTCAAGGCAGTTCCATTTCAAGTGGGACACGGTAAGCTTACGTCTTATTTGCCCAAGAATATTTATAAATTAAGAGCCGAGTGAGTTTATTTGTCCACTATGATATCAGCATAGCGTGTTATTAAATAAGATAACCATGACAAGGTCGTTAAAATACAAATTAAGAACCTGTAAGTTGTTTTAAAGTTTGTTAACTTTTCTTTATCAAAATAAATATATAAATTATTTGTAAAACAAGTTTTATGTAAGAATATTTATTTGAAAATTATGTATGTATGTGCTTAAATAATGTAATCAGACCAATTTTACTTAATTTGCATTATTATAAACTTATTTATTAAGGTTAAACTTTAAATTAACATAACAATTAACATTGTTTGCTAAATTAAAATATGGTACTTGAAATGATTAATAATAAATACAAAATTGTATATGAAATAATTAATAATAAAAACTGAAATTTTATTTCTTAATCGTAATAAATGTTTAATTTTTAACCACATTTTTGATAACGAACATAAATATTAAAAGCTCGTTATTTTTCAAATCTGATCTTTTTCCAAAGTATGGCAGCCCGTTTTATTCTACATTTGACATACGAGCCGCTTTTCTGTGGTATGCTTGTACTTTATCATGAGTTGTTCTAGTATATTTTTGAAAGCCAAAGTGTTACCATGCTACGGTATGTTTTAATGGATGAGACGCGGTCACACTGGCTTGGAGCAAAACTGCAAGAAATAAAATAGGATTTTAAGCGTTTAATTTACCCAATCGAGTTGGTTCAGTGCGCCGGTAGGAAATGGCCGCCATAGTACTAACCCGTAATCTCCAGCTGGCCAGTGAGTAGCGTCGCCTGCGGGCAAAAACATCCTGGCAAACAAATTATGTAATATGAGTTCTACCACCAATGTTGTGGCTAATTTTTGTTTCATTTTCGGTTCGATTCCGGATATTCAGAGCACCATGGCAGTGGCGTGGTGGGAGTTTTGTGCCTGCGTGGATATGCCGCCGCCGCTGCTCCGCCGGAGGATGGTCCGCGTCCGCTGAAGACCACAAATCCGGCTGCCATGAAGCGAGGAACTGGCGGACGAAGCAGTTTCAATGGGATTGTGGCCACGGTTTTCGGAGCCACCGGATTCGTGGGTCGCTATGTGTGCAACAAGCTGGGCAAATCCGGCAGCCAGATGATCCTACCCTATCGCGGCGACGACTCCGATGTGATCCGCCTAAAGGTCACCGGCGATCTCGGCCAGGTGCTGTTCCACTTCTACAACCTGGACGATCCCGCCTCCATTCGCGAAGCTGTCAAGCACTCGAACGTGGTCATTAATCTGGTGGGCAGGGACTTCGAGACTAAGAACTTCAAGTTCAAGGATGTCCATGTCAATGGAGCTGAAAGAATTGCCAGGTGAGTATCATAAAATAAACCTATCGTAAATTTTAAGAGATGTATGGAATAGCGAATTGTCTCTGTAATATGGATTACTCCTAAAATCGTATGAAGCAATCATATACTAATTTGTAATTAACAATTGTATGTATTTTTCAAATGTATACCGTACACGGTTTTAGTCATTCTGATCGCAATAAGATCAGATCTAAACGCTCGATATGTATATGTTTATTAATATATAGAGCACATGAAAATATGTTAATGTCATAACTCCAAGATTAATGGTCCCTTGGCGAACAATTACTAACATAATTCTAATTAAAAACATAAAAGTTAATATCAAGTTAATATGGAGCTTAAATTAATTTTTATAAATGTGGTCAAACCTACAGGAATGTTTTTATTTCGTTTTAATGAATACATTTATAATCAATTATTAAGGCGGTGTCCTTAGAAAAACACTTTTTATTTTTATAAAGTTTTAAATCAATAGAGTTTTTAGATAAATCGCTGGCTAGAACTTAAATTGTAAGAAATAAAACCTGTTATGAATAACAGTCTTGTAAGCTCATATTAATCTATTTTTGTCTATTTATTCAGGATTTCCCGAGAGGCCGGAGTAGAGCGCTTCATCCACCTGTCCTCCTTGAACGTGGAGGCCAATCCCAAGGATCTGTTCGTCAAGGGCGGCAGTGAGTGGCTGAAGAGCAAGTACGAGGGTGAGCTGCGCGTGCGCGACGCCTTCCCCAACGCCACGATCATCCGTCCCGCGGATATCTACGGCGCCGAGGATCGCTTCTTGCGCTACTACGCCCACATCTGGCGCCGTCAGTTTCGCTCGATGCCGCTGTGGCACAAGGGCGAGAAGACAGTGAAGCAGCCCGTTTTCGTTTCGGACGTGGCCCAGGCCATCATCAACGCCGCCAAGGATCCGGACTCCGCCGGTCGCGTCTACCAGGCCGTTGGGTAAGTCACCCTCTAATGGAGTAACTTATTATTTAATTACCATTAAATACACAGTTATTTAAACTATTTAATTGGTAAAATCGTATTTCTTTCGTACATTTTAATTCCAAAATCCTAAAATTGACCACAAAACAGGGTTCTTGCAAAAAATAGTAATAGATTCACGATTTTTAGTTTCTTTTTATGAATTAATTTGTAATAATTGAGTTTTATTTTTTGTTTTTATTATTTACAATAGCCCAATTCTATAATATAACTTATTATTATTATCGTTAACCATTGTGAAGAAACTGTATCCCTAATCTCTGTTAACCTTTTCAGACCCAAGCGCTACCAGCTGAGCGAACTGGTCGACTGGTTCCACCGCCTGATGCGCAAGGACCAGAAGCGCTGGGGCTACATGCGCTACGACATGCGCTGGGACCCCTCCTTCCTGCTGAAGGCCAAGCTGAACAGCTGGATCTGCCCAGGCACCCCGATCGGCGGTCTGCACCCTGCTCGCATCGAGCGCGAGGCTGTCACCGATAAGGTTCTGACTGGAGTGCCCACGCTGGAGGATCTGGGCGTCACGCTGACCACCATGGAGCAGCAGGTGCCATGGGAGCTGCGTCCGTACCGCGCGGCCCTTTACTACGACGCCGAGCTGGGCGAATTCGAGACGCCATCGCCACCCAAGTGCATCGAGGCCCGCGACGAACTGCGTCTGTTTGCCTAAGCGGATCGTGGCTGATGTCTGTGTTGATTGGAAATTTTTAGTTGGAATTGTTAAGGCGATGCGTCAATAAAGAGAAGTCGACAGATTAAGAGTGATTTTTCTAAAAAATTAGTTGATATCAATTAAGACTACAATGTGCAATGTAAAGAGCTATTATGGGAATGGAATGGACAACCTTACGAGAGTATCTATTAATCAATCCCTTATGAAATTAAAACATATAGTAATTTCAGTGTAACCTGCATTAATAACTGTTTTCAGCGAAATTTCATATTATTTGCCAATCTGGGCAGTCCTTTCGACTCTGGTTGACTTGTTGGATTAGGATTTCTTTGCCCCAATGGCCTCAAATCGAATTTTGTTTTGGACGTTGGACGGTTCGCGTTCTAATGGTTTTGGAAAATAAGGAGAATTTCGAGAATCCAATTCAATAGTAGATCTCTTACTACTCAAGTGTAAATTAATCATACCGAGACTACGGCTTATATGGTCTTCCTGGTGTAAAAGGTTTAATGGACATAACCACATGAACGAGTTTTCTTTGGGGTAATCTTTTCAACTCCTCCCAATATTATAATGTGCCTGAATCAACACTAATTTTTTGGCTTCGCCCCATTTAAAACAATCCGGAAAAAGGCCTCTTATTCTGATTTCGAACCCATTCGGCGGTGGAGCCATTGAAACATCCATAACCATGAGCATTCAAAAGACACATTTATGAAACCTTGGACCTTTCATTCGTCTTAAATAAGAAACCTAGCTTAACACGTTGGATTGGGGACGAACGTCTAAGTTTGCTGGGAATTAGAAGTTATAAAGACTTCATATATCCAGGATGAGTCCGCTTTTCTGTTATTGAGTCCAGTATAATTGCTGTCGACTACGAAATAAACGTTGACCCCTGATTAACCTTTATGCGATCCTGAATTCGTGATATATTTGTAATCCTTGCCAAAGCATATTGATAGAGCCTGCTTCAGGAGTTTTCTTTGCTTTTATTTTTGCTATCTATAGGGTCAATATATGATGGTATTTCAGATTATTTAGGATTTGTTTCCTTCCTTCTTAAAAGTTGATGCTTTCTGAGTTAAAAGGTACTCCTTAATAAAGGATTTTGCATTAATCTCTGTATTTAATCAACAATAAATAAAAACATATGATCATAAATATATTGACTAAGTTTAAAGCTTACTAATTAACAGCCAAAAATTAATACAACAGTGGTTACATGAATACATATGTGAATTTAATATTTTTTACAGGGCAATGGCTTTACAAGCTATTGACAACTAACCTGGTATTTGGTAAGAATAAGAATAAGATTTTGGTAACATCTCTATAGTAGGGCCTTCAAAAGTATAACATGTGACTGATGCTCTGAATAAAATTACAAATTAATCGTGGGACATGTACTTCATTACATGAAAAGATTCACTTGGGGATCAAAAATAAACATGTAAATACCATTTTATTATTCAAATATATAATAAATATTAAATAAAGACACGATATTGCCATTTATTTTTTTTTGTCTGAAATAGTTTTTTATTTTTAAGGAAATTTAATTTTAACGCACAATTTTGTGAGCTTAACGGAAAATTAACAGAAGTAATTCATAATTATAAACTCATCGTCTTAACCATTTCTTAGTGCTCCAAATGAAAATAACCTTAAAAACCAATATGCCAAACGCTTTTTTCGAAATCTGCTTTCAAAGTGTAGTAAAAAAGTTTTAATTTTTTTAAAAATAAGAAAAGCTAGAAAATAGTAATGACAATAACTAAGTTGGCAGCACAGGCAATATTTTAGTATTTTTCAGTATCTCTCTTGCATGTGGCAACGCCCCGGCAGCAAAACCAAAACAAATGACATTCCTATCCCGGTCTGGCAACGCCCTGTATAGTCGGCAAGCTTCGCATTTTTTGCTCTCCGTTTTTTCTTCCTTTGCGACCAGGAGCTTTTCTGCAGGCCAGCAGTTTTCCTCGAAACTTACGCCCGTGCAGATTAATGGCCGGAAAATCACAGTACGGAAAATTCGATTTCTCAACTTCTGTGTGTGTGTGTGTTAAGATTTTTAACTTTTCAGCTTGGTTAAACAAAAAAAAAGAAAACAAGCGCGCGCCCGCCTCTCTTTTCGCGTTTTTGTGCGTGTGTGCGTGAGAGTGAGTGAGAGAATTATGGCATAAGTGCATAAAAATTATGATAGCAGAATTCCCACGGTCGCCGACGATTGTGCATAGTGAAAAGCGGAAAGAAAGGAAAATCACCGAGGGGGTAAATTCGCAGAAGGAAAGCCGCAAAGGCGTGAAATCGATCAGAGCGAATTCAGCGTTGTCCTCGGAAATTAAGGCGAATTGTAGTTGGTGGGGACAAGAGAGTGTGCAAGCGGGCATCAGCTGTGACGTTGGCAGAGGCAGCGACTGCGACGCCGGCAGAGACAGAAAGCTTGGCCAAAAGAAAAGGTCAAACAAGCAACAACACCCACCAGAAGGAGGAGCAAAGGGACAAGTAGTGGAAAAAGGAGAAGAACAGCAGAGAGTGCAACAAAAACAACATCAACGAGAGCAGGAGGTCTGTCAAAAAGAGAGAGTAAAGAAGAAGCACCAGCAAAGGGCGAATAAGAAGAAGCATCGCCCAATAAGCGCAAACAAGAAGAAGCACCATCAGCATCTTCTCATACACAGCGAAAAAACAAGCCCTGTCCTATTTTTAGATTATTTACGCCAGTGTACCGCCGTCGAAATTGTCGCTGTCTCCCCAGCCGGCTGTTGTGACGTCCGAGCAGGCTGCAATCACGCTAAAAGTAACAAATACGCCGCTAATTACGGCAATTCGCGACATTTCGAGCATAAAACCAAAATTTATGCTCTATATCGTCACCTGGAGATCGGTGGCCCGCTCGAACAAGTGCAACAGCAACAGCAGCTGAAAGTCGGCCAAATCCAGATCCGGCTGCGCTTCGAGATGCTCTTCGCCGAGCCACCGCCCCCTCCGCCCACTAAGGGCCACACCCCCACCACCCACAGCCATGTCCATGAGTCGGAGGATGTGCAGGATACACATGCGCCACCTGTCGGCGAACAGGTGATGCCGATACTGCAGGATCAGCAAAATGGCGATATTTTGGCAGGTATGAATAACTCTTTACTCAAAAAAAAATTTATAGCCATATTATTACATTTACATTTTATTCATATAAATAACTTAAAAAATTATAACATCCTCCTGGAGACTACCAAAATATTTTTTGAATCAGAAAAATTATTGATGTATGGTTTTTTTTTGCATTATTATAAATTTCTGCTGTATATAATCTAATTTCCATTGGAACATACCTAAGCTTATGCCTTTAAATTCAATCTAAAACAGATTTTAAAAAATGCAAAAGAATTATTTAAAACTTTTTTAAAAGCTCTGTGAGCTTCTAAAATTTTTAATTCATCATGAAAACTAATTTTATTTGTGTCATGCGAAGATACATGATATGTCTAATTTAAAAGAAATGACTGAAATCACTGATTAATTGTATAACGTTTTATTTTCAAAATTTATCATCATAAAAAACTGATTAATAATTTTTTAAATACATATATGTAAATATGCATACACATTTCTTTGAACAATATGTAGTTTATTTTCAGTGAACTTTTTGAAATGCAAATTCAACTGTTAATTTGCAGTTATATTGAAATATAATGTATATAGATACTGCATTTGTGTATTGTTCACATGTGTATACACATTCCAACAATCTTTTAGGGCACTGCACGGAAACATGCAAATTATTTGTTTATAGCTTACCTTTAAAAGGTTAGGCAACTTTCTGAATTTTAGAAATTTAACCATCTTTTCAACCGTGAAAAACAACGAATTATCGTGCAAATTTGAAGACTTTTTTCTTAAATTAATTTGTTGTGAGTGTCAAGAGAGGGCAAAGTTTGGCACTATAATTAGCTTGGATGACTGTTCTTAAATCCTAAGATTTTTTTGCAGATATTTGAATTTAAATATCTGTTGAAAACTTGTTACACAAAGTAAGTTTTCTAATGTAAAAGTAAGTGGATTTGCGTCTCTATCGTAATTCGACAGAATTGTGGTTCTCTAAATACACAGAATTATATTGTACTGTAGATATTGATGAATCAGAATAGAAAATTGTTTTTGGCTTTTGAAACAAATTTAACCCATTGAAGCTTACGGTGCCTAGCTGAAATAAATAACTTTATTTGACAAAATCATAAAGTAAAACGAAATATCGGATTACCTTCGAGAATATTTAAAGAAAAATGTATTCCAGATTAAGATTAAATTTTGTTTCCAGTGGAGCCATACATTTTTTGTTAAAAGGCGTATAAATTAAATTTTAAACTTAAGTTACTAAACTGTCGTCAGCCAGTTCGTGTGTGGAACGCTTTTAATGGCGCAGCTCAAGTTGTTAGGACCCATTGTTAAAATATTGGTCAAGCGCTCTGGAATCGGAGCACCCAGTGTTTGGCATGCAGTGATCGTGACCTTCTTGCACTACTTTGCCTGGGGCCTTCTCACCGTTCCCTTCATGGAAAAACTTTCGAAATCCTTTGGAAATGGCGTGCTCCTTGTAGACGGTTTGGTTTACGGAGTCCGAGGAATAGTTGCCTTTGTGAGCACGCCTGTCATGGGCGCCATATCCGATTTCCGTGGTCGCAAAGTGGTGATGCTCTTAGCGGTAGTGACTACTTACTCCCCGATTCCTTTCATGATGTCAAACAGCTGGTGGTTCTTCGCCTTACTCTCCGTGAGTTCCATCTTTGGCAGCACTTACTCCGCATCTTTGGCCTATGTGGCAGATGTCACCAGTCTGGAGGACCGATCGAAGGGATATGGCATCGTGGCATCCAGTTTTGGTGCCGGCATAGCATTCTCCCCACTGTTGGGTAACTTTCTGATGCATTCCTTTGGACCCGCACCAGTTATTCTGATTGCATCCATTACTGGCTTGCTTAATATTTTGTTTATTATTTTTGGAGTGCCAGAGAGTTTGGTTTTCAAAGAAATGAGCCTTGTGTTAGAGGAGACTTACGATAACCAAATGCTTATTAGGGAAAATTGGTGCCAGAGAATGGAAGATCGGGAGGAGGAGGACTTAAACATAGAGCAAAGAACAATCATTAATTTCAAAGAAACGGAAACCATGTTGAAAGAAAAAGGAAATTATCATATCGTAAACCCAAAAGTAAAGGAGAGATTAGATAACGGTATATCTAAAAACAAACTGGAGAAACCCATCCTTGATCTGCAGGATATTTCTGAAGAAGAGCCGACCCTTAAAAAAGTTAACACTAAACATATCCAAAACTTAAACAATAACGGGACAACCTTATGGTATAAGAATGAACTTATACCAGAGGTGGCTGAAAAGGAAACTAAACTCACAAAAAAAGGGGAAAACGATAACGGTAACAGCAGATCTCATCTCTGGGCAGTATTACGCGAAAGTCGAAAAGATAAAAACATGTTAGTGGTATTTCTCATATCATTCCTAACATGTTGGCCCTTCGCGGGCGTCGATTCCACTGCTCCGCTCTACCTTAAAACCAATATGGGATTCGAGTACGAAGAGGTGTCCTTGATGCTGGGACTGCTATCTGTGCTAGGCATCACCTCGAACCTCCTGTTGGGGTATCTTGTGAGCCTAGTGGGTCCCAAGTGGTCGATCCAATTCGGCTTAATTTGCCTGCTGTCGCAGCTGCTGTTGCTCGGATATGGAACCCAACATTGGATGTTCTGGCTAGCCAGCATAATGGCTGCCTTGGCCACCATTATCCCAGCTGCTAACAATTCACTGGCTTCGATTTACGCCAGTCCTAAGAATCAGGGTGCTGTACTTGGCATTATCTCTGGGATAGAGTGTTTAAGCGAGGGATTGGGACCCGCCATGTTTGGACTAATATTCTACTTTTTTCAGGATGATTTAAAGATTGCTCAAAAAGTAAAGTCACCGATTCCCCTGCCCTTTATCGTAGGTGCCATTATGGTCTTTGTGGCAATCATCTTGACCAGTTTAATACAAAATGAGACTTGTGAAAAGAGACAAAAGCTCTACAAGGTGGCGAAAGATGAAAATGAACTGGAACCACTGACGAAAACAATAAACAAAGTTGGAAAGGAAAATGCTGGTTATACGAAATTAGTGTTTTATGACTACGATTCGGAATGTAATGGTTTAAAATAAAAATAAAATGCTTAAAGATACTTTTTATACCCTTGCAGAGGGTATTATAATTTTGGTCAAAAGTGTGCAACGCAGTGAAGGAGACATCTCCGACCCTATAAAGTATATATATTCTTGATCAGGATCACCTCCTGAGTTGATATAGCCATGTCCGTCTGTCCGTCTGTCTGTTTCTACGCAAACTAGTCTCTCAGTTTTAAAGATATCGAACTGAAACTTTGCACACACCCTTCTTTCCTTTGCACGCAGTATATATGTCGGAACGGCCGGGATCGGACGACTATATCCTATAGCTGCCATATAACTGATTGATCGGAAATGCCATAACTTTGGTGTTTGTAAAGTTAGGAAGCTGGGATTTCCTATGGGTTTTATATTTGGCTAATCAATCCGACCTACCAAATTTCATAAGGATCGGCCGACTATATCCTATAGCTGCCATATAACTGATTGATCGGAAATGCCATAACTTTGGTGTTTTTAAAGTTGGGATGTTGGGATTTGTTATGAGTATTAAGAATGCATCATATGAATAATTTTGGAGAATATAATTTACAGAGTATTCTGCAAGGGTATATCAACTTCGGCTCCGCCCAAAGTTAGCTTTCCTTTCTTGTTAAAATTAAAACCATAATTAGACGTCAATTATCCGTAAATTATTTGAAACAATATTATTATATATATTATTTAAATATTATAGAATTACGGTTTTAATTAAATTAGCTGCCATAGAAGCGATGGCAAAATGCAGCGCAAAATCGATATAGCTAACTTCATTGTTTTTAGTAATATAGGCATAGAAATGGAAATGTAGTCGACTTGTAATAACTGCAAGGGTATATAAACTTCGGCTTGCCGAAGTTTGCTTCCTTTCTTGTTTTCCAATACATTTGGATAAATAAAGTGATAAATATCAGCTTTCCCTTTAAATTATCTTAATTAGCTACGCTCAAAGACCATATAAAAATAGTTTCAGTCAAACTTTGCCTGCTTTCTCAAATATGTATTCCCTTTGTAAAGATGGGTCTTAATAAACTACTCGTAACTCTCGCCTCTATTTCGGGTATTGGAAGCCGGGTGTTACCCTTTGAAGAAAAGTATTTAAAGAGTATCGGACATTGCTAAAAAATATATATACCATATATATAGATCTCTATACTTTTGAATATATTACGATATTACGACCGCCTTTGGTTTAAGCAAATTAAACTGTTTATTCGTAGTCATACTCAGACTATTTGTGTACATACATTTAAAAATATTTTAGGGCATTGCACGGAAATGTGCAAATTATTTGTTTATTGCAAATTGCCGAACATTTTTTGAATTTCATCCATAGTTGTAGTCTTTACAATAAAGAAAAAACTTAGAATTAAGAATTACCGGGAAAATTTTAAATATTTTATATATGTATTAAAACAATTATTTCATAAAAAAATATTTACAAAGTAAAAAATTAAACATTTTTTAAAAAAAATTGTTTTCCAAACATTTCTGAATTTTATGTCTGTTTTCTAGATTAATTGTTTATATTTATTCCAAGTGTCAAGAGGGGGAAATGCTTGGCTCTATTATTAACTTAGATAACATTTGTTAAAGGAGATTTTCTTGAAAATTTTTAAAAATATCACATAAAAAATGTATGTTCAAAACTTGTAATTAAAGTAAGTTTTCTAATTTGAAATATTGTGTGCATTTGCATATCGTTTGAAAGTTAGATATGTAGATATTGAAGAATCAGAATTAAAAATGGTTTTTGTATTTGAAAACAAATTTAACCCATTGAATCTGAGTCAGTTTAATATTTGTTGCTCAAGCTGAAAAAGAAAACCCTATTTGACAAAGTGATTAAGTTGAAATCAATTTTTTTTCAGTGCAATAACATCTTTTGTTAAAACACTAGACTGTATAAATTGAATTTAAAACTGTAGTTACTAAACTGTCGTTAGCCAAAACGCTTTTAATGGCGCATCCCAAGTTGTTAGGACCCCTTGTTAAAATATTGGTCAAGCGCTCTGGAATCGGAGCACCCAGTGTTTGGCATGCAGTGATCGTGACCTTCTTGCACTACTTTTCCTGGGCCCTTCTTACCATTCCCTACATGGAAATACTTTCGAAATACTTTGGAAATGGCGTTCTCCTCGTCGACGGTTTGGTTTATGGAGTCCGAGGAATAGTTTCCTTTGTGAGCACGCCTGTCATGGGCGCCATATCCGATTTCCGTGGTCGCAAAGTGGTGATGCTCTTGGCGGTAGTGACTACTTACTCACCGATTCCTTTCATGATGTCAAACTACTGGTGGTTCCTCGCTTTACTCTCCGTGAGCTCTATCTTCGGAAGCACTTACTCCTCAGCTTTGGCATATGTGGCGGATGTCACCAGCCAAGAGGACCGATCGAAGGGATATGGCATCGTGGCAGCCAGTTTTGGTGCCGGCATAGCATTCTCCCCACTGTTGGGCAACATTTTGATGAATTCTTTCGGACCCGCAGCAGTTATTCTGATTGCAAGCATTACTGGCTTACTGAATATTTTGTTTATCATTTTTGGAGTGCCAGAGAGTTTGGTATTAAAAGAAATGAGCGTTGTGTTGGAGGAGACGAATGATAACAAAATGGTCATGGAAAGTTCGTGCCAGATAACAAAAGAGGAGGAAGACTTAAACCTGGAGGAGGAAACAGTTATAAATCCTAAAGAAAAGAAAACGATGCTAAATGGGCAAACAGATAACCATGTCGTAAACCACAAATTAAAGGAACAAATAGAAGCCGGTATTTTTAAACTGGAGAAACCGATCCTAAAGATGCAGGATATTTCTGAAGAAGAGCAGACCCTTCAAACCGTTACCACTAAACAAACCCAATATTCAAACAATAATGGGAAAACCGTAGAGGATAAGAATGAACTGATACTAGAGGTGACTAAAAAGGATACTAAACTTACGGAAAAGGGGGAAAACGATAACGATAACAGCAGATCTCATCTCTGGGCAGTACTACGCCAAAGCCGTAAAGATAAAAACCTGTTAGTGGTATTTATCATATCATTTCTATCAATTTGGCCCTTTGCGGCCGTAGATTCCACAGCTCCTCTCTACCTTAAAACCAATATGGGATTCGATTACGAAGAGGTGTCCTTGATGCTGGGACTGCTATCTGTGCTAGGAATCACCTCGAATCTCCTGTTAGGGTATCTTGTGAGCGCAGTGGGTGCTCAGTGGTCGATCCGACTTGGCTTAATTTGCCAGCTGTCGCAGCTGCTGTTGCTCGGATTTGGAACCCAACATTGGATGTTCTGGCTGGGCAGCGTAATGGCTGCCATGGCCACCATTATCCAAGCAGCCAACAATTCACTGGCTTCGATTTACGCCAGTCCTGAGAATCAGGGCGCTGTCATTGGCATTATCGCTGGGATCGAGTGTTTAAGCGAGGGCTTGGGACCCGCCATGTTTGGACTAATGTTCTACCTTTTTCAGGATAATTCAAAGATTGATCAATCAGTAAACCAACCAATCCCATTGCCCTTTGTCGTAGGTGCCGTTGGGGTCTTTGTGGCCATTATTCTGACCAGTTTTTTAAAAAAGCAGACTATTGAAAAGACGCAAATAAAGACGAAATAAGTGTTTAATGACTACCACGATTCAGAATGTAAATGTAGTTCTTGTTAAAATGCATAAAATTAAGTAAAACGTGTAATAAGTTTGCAACGCAGCTTTCAAAATTAAAATTGATAACTGATAATTACGAAATATTGAATTTTTTTTTTAAATTTTAGTTGGGGCTGTTATGTTCAAATAAATCTAAAAATTCCCATAAATTTTAAAAAGAATTGAAACTCTTTTCTATAAAGGATAATTTAATTTACCAATACTGAAGGAAGGCAAATTAAATAGTACAACATTTATTTAAAACTTTATTTTATTTGATATTTGAAGATTCTGGAGACCTAAAATGTTTACAAGAAGTGGTCCAGTTCTGCGACTAATATTGAATTAGGTTTTTTCAATATTTTCGGACTAAGTTAAGCGATAAATATCGATACCCCCCTTAAATATATTAGCAGCGCTAAAAGACCATAAAATTGTAATTTCAGTTATATATTTACTGCTTTCTCAAACGGTGGTTTAGTGTGCTTTTTAGTTGTTTGCCCATCATACATATATGGCTAAGTTTGGCCTGAAAAAACTACTTGTAACTCTCGCCTCTATTTCGGGGATCGGAAAGCCGGGTGTTACACACATTCTGGTCGTGGTTTTCTTGGAGTATTTCGCCTGGGGCCTGCTGACAATGCCCATGATAGCCACTCTGAAGGAAACCTTCCCAGATCACACATTCCTGATGAACGGTTTGGTGATGGGAGTCAAGGGAATACTCTCGTTTTTATCAGCCCCTCTGATCGGAGCATTATCGGATATCTATGGCCGGAAGTTGCTGCTGCTGATCACAGTGATCTTCACTTGCCTTCCGATCCCCATGATGACGATCGACACTTGGTGGTTCTTTGCGATTAGCGCGATAAGCGGAATTCTGGGAGTAAGCTTCTCGGTTGTCTTTGCCTATGTGGCGGATGTCACGACAAAGGAAGAGCGGACCAGATCTTATGGATTCGTATCGGCCACATTTGCCGCCAGTTTGGTGATTGCGCCGGCTTTGGGCAATCTCATAATGGAACTTTACGGAATCAATACTGTGGTGTTCATAGCCACGCTTGTATCCACCACGAATGTGATGTTTGTGCTGCTTGCTGTTCCAGAAAGTTTGCCCAGAAAAGTAAGATCCACTGGACTGAGCTGGAAACAAGCGGATCCGTTTTTAGCCCTCCTAGGGGTGTGTTCAGATCCCAATATCCTGCTTCTGTGCATCGTGGTCTTTATGTTTCTGCTTCCCGAAGCTGGTGAATATTCCAGTGTACCAGCTTACCTTAAATTAACCATGGGATTTGACTTCGTGGAACTGTCTATGCTGGTGGCTTTTATGGCCATTTTGAGCATATCTGTGAACGTGACCTTGGGATCTATTGTGAAGACTATAGGTGCCAAAAGATCGATATTATTGGGCCTGTTGTTGGAACTGCTGCAACTAATACTGTATGCCGTTGGAGATGAAAAGTGGCAAATGTGGTTGGCTGGAAACGTGGCTGCCTTGAGTTCCATTACTTTTCCGGCCGTGAGCGCCTATGTTTCCCTTTATACGGATGGTGAAAGTCAGGGAGCAGTTCAAGGTATGATCACGGGAATGTCTGGATTGTGTAATGGACTTGGACCCGCTATATTTGGGATCGTATTCTACCTATCTGACATGGACTTGAGCGAGGATCGGGTTCTGATAAGGAGTGTAAATGGAGATCGAACTGTTGCCGGCCCCTTTATGTTTGGAGCTATCTCTGTGTTTATTGGCATACTACTAGCTTCATATATTCCAGATGAAAAGACCGCACGGGGCAAGAAAGAGGAATTTTCTGCCTTGAAATATATAATCGAAATGGACGAAGGGGTGGCAAAATCTTGACTTTTAGTTAAATTTATTAAAAATAAATATATAAAATTCTAAAGATTTTATTTTAAAACTCTAAAGCATATTACATTTTTTAAAATTTATTTTCATGATATTTGTTTAGGCACAAATGAATGCAAACGGTGTAATGTTACGAAATGTATAAAAAATCATTTAGAAAACAATTAAAATAAAATCCGCATAAAAAATATCTTATTCTGATCCTTTTTTAAAAATGTGGTAAGAAAGTGTTCGACAGTATCAAGTTCAATTTTCAGTCTTTTCTTATGTAATTTTTTGATTTAATGGGTTAAAGTATAGACGCTGTGTCGTCTGTTTGCGTCATTTAATCAGCCACTTTTCCGCAGCCTCTCAGTCGACGACCGCGTCTGTTTATTTTGGTTTTTGTTTTTATTTTTCTTGGCATTTTCCTCCTATTTATTTATACATTTTGATTTTGCTCTTTTATTTTGATGGCACAAAATTCACGACAGTTTGTTGACTCTTACGTAAGAGTCTGTGGTTTTGTTTGTTTTTCTCATCAACAAAATCTCCCAATCAGTAGCAAACAAAATTTGCCAAAAGATAATTTATTAACAACAATTGCAGGATTCCAAAAATAGACCAAGCTCCCCTAAAGTCCCATGTTGCCCAATCATTTGGCAAACGTATATCTGTTCATGTTTGGCAGATGTATTCTCTTATTCTTTTGTTGGGTTTTGTTCAAACACAGTCACCGCCGAAAACTTTCCATTTGAAAAAGCAAATCCCAATAAATATGTACATAAAGCCCCGACGAATGAGAGTCGTAAAAATCAGAAAATAGTGTGATTATACCGAAACACGTGCAGGCAAAATCGACTCATTCTCACCATATTTTCAGTTCCCTGAGAGAATGCTCTCACTCACTGGTGAGAATGAGTCTCACTGGCGTCGTAAGAGTAAATATTATTTAACCGATATCCAGGGGCGGATTAATTAAAGCCAAGGTACCGGAAAGGGATTAAATTAGGAGGTATTAAAAGGCTTTCAATGAAAAGAGAAAATTTAAGACAAAATTCATACAATTTTACCACCATTCAAAAACATTTGAATTATTATTACGTTGTTGACATTGGTTAATCCAAATATTTCATCAAAAAAATAATTTAAAAATTGATTTTTGATATTATGTGTATTATTTATTGTAGATTGTTACACCCCTTTAAATTAATTTGCTCCTGGGACCAATTTTCAGATACGCATAACTTGTATCTCACTATGTGTTTCCAGGCTCACTGATTATGTTGTTTTGGTTTTGTATCTTGTTTTTGTGGAATGCTTTTTTCTTTTTCAGCCTTTGTCAAATGTGCCTGGGTGTTCTGGCATTGGCCTTCAATTTCAATTCTTTGCCGAGACCAGAGGTCTGCCAATGTTATCACCCAGTCGTATTAATATCTTTCTGTATGTACATATGTATGTGCATATGAAATATTTGTTCCGCCGAATCCGCCAAACATACCAACTTGCATATGTACATAAAACGCGAAACTATTCCGTGATTCAAGAGCGAATTGCTGACAACACTTTCCATGATACTTTGTTGCTACACAGGGAGAAATATTGGGGTGGTACGGGGTCGAAATCGATAAGCCTTCCCTTAATAGGATGTTTTCGTCCCCCATCTCTCTTTTTCGCTATTTCACTTTACGCTAATGCGATGCGAATTTCTATGGGTTTTAATTAGCGTTACGAATGTCTGATGGAAAGCGAGTACAAAGGGAATCTTAAGTTTCAGAAGCCTAGACCCATACTAACTAATCCTACAGTTGCTACTGTACCAAATTCCACCTCTGAAACGCAAAATTATGTCATTGAACTGGCATCAGGCGTCTCTTATCAATTATCTTGGAGCCAATCGGAATTTGAGCGTGTTACCAGGCGAAGAAAACGGAAATAATTTCCCCGCTGACCGATAACACTTTGACCTTTTGCAATAGACGATTTTGATTTAAAAATGCCCTCGAATCTATTGCAAATTTAATTTCCTCCTGCCACTGAACTTTGCCAATGTCAGACGAATTTGTGCAAAAAAAAAATTGGGTCTGGTTTTGTTTTTGCTTATGCTAAAAGAGAAATAACAAATAGTGAGAGTGGCTTTTTTCTAATTTTGATACCCTTTATCAGACCTGTCTGGAATATGATTTCTTCCAAAAAACCCATGCTGAGATACGATTTAGTTATGCGATCTAATAACTTAAATTTTCATGGAATATTCCGTTTGTAGAGTTTATATCATTAAAATACATGTGTAGATCTGTATAGCTAGCAACAACAAAATTAAACAACATATAATTTAAAATGACGCGTATAGCTAATATTAGGCAAACCAAATTATACATTTATCTTATTTTAAAAGCCTTGGTTATTTAATTCCATTAAATAGAGAACATTTTAATTTGTAATGTCTCAATAAAAAATAGGATTAAAAAAAAATTTATTAGTACTAGTAGATTTTCGACAGAATATTGTAAATACATTTTTATGCAATTTCAAATCAATAAAGTTGGGTTTCTGGTTATTAATTTAATATACCATTAATAACTATGATATAAATATGAATATCCACACGAAATTGAAACTGAATTGAAAGCTATGTTAGGGTACCTAGAGTGCTCTAGCCGCTCCGAAAACCGATTTCCATGTGATAGAGCGATAGCGCGAACACGTGAGAGAGCGAGAGAAGTGTGGGACAAAGCATAGAACGCGATTAGTGGCGTTCCTTTTTCTTTGCTTTCGTATTCGTACTTCTCTTTCTGCCGGCTTTTTCGGAATCTCCCATGCATATAGGCCCTCATTTCGAAAGCCCACGTCGTGGAGATCGGATCGCATTAATTCCCCAACTTAAAAACCTGTAAATTCAAAGACATGTCCCGTTACTTAATATATAAACTAACGCCTAGAATATTTTTCCTCATTACAGGCACAACCAGCAACGTTGAGCTAATGGAGGCCATGAAGAAATTGGATGCAGATCTGGTGGCTCTTTTTGCCACGGCCGCCTCTGCCGAGCCGCTAATGCAGAAACATCAGAAGGTCCTGTGGCCGGAATCCGAGTCGGAGCAAATTGCCCAAGACTCGGAAGATGAGCTGGTAATCACGCCCGAGATATTCCGCAGCTGCAACGCGTTGCAACTCCATTTGGAGGCTCTAACCTTGCAGCCGGAGGGAACTCAACGCATGGAACTGGTTCAGAACGAGGTGCGACCCATTTTCACCGTGGAGTGCCAACTTTCTGGAGATTTGGTACGGAAGGTGCCGCGCTATCCGATGTTCCACATCATGCAGTTCGAGTCGGAGAAGTTCCAGAGCCTGACGCAGTGCACCAGGTTCGGGCAGACGGCTCAGCGGCAGGTGGATATGGAGGATAAGAGCCTGGAGGACCAGGACCAGAGTGCTGGACATGTGGACATTACGGTTTGGTGGCGTGAGCCGGGCACCTGCCTCAACGAAATGCTCGGCATGGGGCGCCTGGAACTCCGGGAGCTCTACAGGGCATCGCTGCTCGAGCAGTGCAAGTGCGTTGCCATCAAGCGCCGCGATGTCCATCTGGGCAGCGTCTATGTGAAGGTCAGTCTGCTGCAGAGCTTGAATGGAAACCCGGAGCAGCAGCAACAGCAACAGGGTCAAAAGAACGAAAGTGGAAACAAGGCCGCAGGTGAATATATATGACTAATGTCGTGTGGTTGCCAATCGCAAGAACCACTGATTCTTGGGCTCCCAAATCGAATACAACTGATACAAGCTGAACCACACGACTACAACCACAACTTTCACCACGACCAACAACAAAACCAATACCAAATCCACACGAGCCGCCCACAACCACGCCCACGCCTCCTGCACTTACTCCATATATTATTGATTGCCGTTATCCAAGTGCTGCCCATCATTCTGTCAATAAATACTTTTCATTTTCAAAAAACAAAGCAAAACAAAACAAATAACAACCAACAAAATCAAAAACAACAATTTTTTTCGTGTTTTATGTTTTTTATCCCAGCTATATTTTTAAACATGTATTTTGTTTTCCAACAGCTTGTTTGTGATTATGGGACACAGTGGGTTGATCAAATTTTTGAAACCCTTTGTTAGTTAGCTAAATAAGTAATAAGTATTAGAAAAACTTTTACTCCATAGTACATATGCAAATACCCCAGAAAGGTTTTTAAAAACAAATTGAAAATAGGGATACGTTTTAGGTACTTAAATTTCAAAGCAATTTAAAATGTAGTTGAGCATTAATTTTTTTAAATATTTATTTCTTAGTTTCAAGGCTTTAAAAAAAAGTCCATATTTAGAAAATAAATAAACAAGTTTTCTGAGTTTAAATTTTAAGTTTTTTGTATCCAAATTTTTTCTTTGGCTCTTATAATTTTAATCACACTTTGCCCACTGTGTCCACCGCTTATGATGCTTATAATGCGTCAATTATCGGGCCGATTTAAGATCTAGTGGGGATATTTTTAGCCCACTCGATTCCAGTGATCGGCCAAGTTTTCAGTTGTCCGCTTCTTGAGTACGTGCTATAACCGATTCAACCCGGTTTCACCCGCTTGTTGGGGCAATCTTTCGTTACGCTTGATTCGATTTTTGGATCCGATCGTCTGTCGTCAAGGCGATAAGGCCCCGGATCGAAGATCGCTGCTGATTTCGTTCTTGTTTGACTCACAGCTTGAGGGTTCAAGGTCTACTTGAGAAGCTTGAACTGTGATTAATACAGCCTAGCATGTGCCTTACTATCTGCCGTCGACTAAATAACTAATCCTCTCTTGCGTGCTTAAATATTTTTCAGTTAACTGCAACTCAAAGGCCGTCTTAACGCCCTCTCAACCGCCGCCCCCGCTACCCCCTCCTCCCAAAGCCAACAACAACAACAGGGCCATCTTGGACTGTGTCAATTTCATGGCGGAGACCAATAAAGTACGTCTCCTGAGGGGCTATTTGTATGCCGGAGAGCTGCGTCAATTAACGGCGGAGAATCAATCGGCCTGCCAGGAACTATCGCTTCAGCCCTTCTGGCAAACGCAGCCACTGCTGGTGAAGATCGGCGATGGGGGATCTTTTGAGCTGCAGGAGCAGTTTGCCATCATCAACGATGAGCGATTTCTGCAGAGTGTCGAACGTCAGCAACTGCTTCTGGAACTGCGTCCTCTAAGTGGTCTGGTCCGGCTGCCGCTGCACCAGTTCTTCATCGCCTACAGAGATGCCAGCATCACCAATCATTTGTGCAAGGGAAAGGTGCGAGTGGGTTACTTCAAATTTGGGGTGCCTAACCAGTAACTTATAAAATGCGATCCTAAGATGATAAAATCTATTACAGCTGACAACTAGTTTTAATCAAATCGACTGATCCAGAAATATTATTCTTCGGTAAGCCGAAGTTTATATACCCTTGCAGTTATTACAATACGACTACATTTCGATTTATGTGCCTATATTTTTAAAAGCAATGAAGCTACATATGTCGATTTTGTGCTGCATTTTGCCATCGCTTCTATGGCAGCTATATGATATTGTTGTCCGATTTTAATTTAATTAAAACCGTAATTTCATAATATTTAAATATTACCAAATCCCAAAGAACAACAAAAAAAATTAAAAACAACAGTTATAATTTTTAAACAAAATTTTCCGATTGTTCCTATGGGAGCTATATGATATAGTTGCCTGATCCGGCTCGTTTCGACTTATATACTACCTGCAATAGAAAGACAACTTTTGGGAAAGTTTCAAGCTTTAAAACTGAGGGACTAGTTTGCGTAGAAACGGACGGACGGACAGACGGACATGGCTAGATCGACTCTCCTGGTGATGCTGATCAAGAATATATATACTTTACTTTAGGGTCGGAAATGTCTCCTTCACTGCGTTGCAAACTTTTGACTGAAATTATAATACCCTCTGCAAGGGTATAAAAATCAAGTTAACTAACCCATATCTAATTATAACTTTTGAGAACAATCTTTTTTTTGATTTTATATTCCAAAACTTATTTTGTTTACTTAATAAGCTGATCTAAATTAAATTTAATATTAAGCAGAATATTATTCTAAATTAAATTGTCTATATTTCGAAATTTTTTCCGAGTTATTGAAGCATAATTTTCTATTAATGTATACTTTCTATTTATAAATAATTCAAGTTCAATGTCAAAATTTTTATTAAACTAGCAGATGAAAATTATCAAATTTAAAATCGGAATAAAACTGAATATTTCTGGTTTTTGAAATTCAATAATTTGCAATAGGACTGATTATTTTTTATCAATGTGGAAGAACAGCTTAAGTTTGGTTTGTTTTAGTTTAAACTAAATTTGCTTTCTTTTATAATTTCTTAAATCTATCACTAAATTGTTTTTTTTATATATTTTTCAGTTACCAGTTATTTCTATCGATGGTTGGGCACCCATTGTCAGCAGTGAGACCCAATCGCCTTTGGGGGAGCTCAAGGTGCTCCTGGCCATCGGCAGTGAATCCCAGATTGCCCAACTGAAGCAGCAGCGCGGCTTCGACCAGGACAACAATCAAGTGTCGGCTCCAAATAGCACCACAGATTTACTAGATATGCTCCAAAATGCCATCACTGCTCCCGCACCAAGTAGCTCAACTCCCGCAATGCCGCCGCCCCCTGCTCCTCCAGCGCCCAGTAACTTCAGCTTTCAACTGCGCATCGTAGGCGCTGCTGGATTGCCCCTAAACCCCGGCTATGGTAAATCAAAGAAGCAGGCAAAACGCCAGTCGGCCGCCAAGCGATTCCCACCCAACGAAGCGCCCAACACCTATGTGACCTTCCAGGCCGTCAACTGCAACAGTCAGACGTACAAGTCACACGAGGGATTGGTCTATGCCACGCCCATTGTGCCGAGGTCCACGAAGCCTCAGTGGCTCAGCAAGTTCCGGGTGGAAGTGAGTCGCGATTACCGCAGCAATGTAAGAATATTTGGATGCCCGTTCATTGAAAACTCAAGCTAATATTAATTATTTTTTCGTTGTAGCCCCAGAAGCTCTTCATCTTGAAGCTATGGAAGAAGGCGATTGTCAGCCCAAACGGCATCACTGAGCCGTCTCCCCACGAAGATGCCATTATAGGGTTCGCTGCCCTCAATCTCAACCAGAAGCAACCGGGCGGAGGTTTTCCCAGCGGATGGCACAACATAGTGGACTTTAATGGACGCGTGACCGGAGGAATAGAGGCGCATGTGGAGCCCACACCGCCCAGTGTGGATACCGTGATTGATCAGTTTGAAAGGTCAATGGAACTCGGCCATTTGCAGTTGGGCCAAGCCATCAAGCGAAAGTACACGGAGCTGGAGGAGATCTCGCAGAGGTTGCGATCCCGTTTGGTGGATGTGACAGGGGAAACGCTAAAGTTTCCAGAATTCGATGTGGATAGTGCATTGGACAGTTGGCAGCAGGATGGAGATGATGATGATTTGGCGGAGGATTTCGAACGCGCTCTGCGCACTCCCACGCCCCCCGGCTCACCAAGCCCCTCCACCAGCTCCGCCGCACAAAATCCCAGAAATGCAAACGGCCAGGAATAGCCCAGGGCCAAAAGTCAGTTAAGCGTGTTTTTTCCTCTCTCCGCATCTCGATGTCGTCTCTGATATTGGCTCAAACGGTAGCTATAGTTAACCACCTAGTTGTAGACTATAATATAATACACGGATCTTGATCTGATATTATGCTGTACTTAAATTGGCATCCCAATTTTGCCTCGATTCACCGTCTTATGGCTGTCTATATAGCATAAAATCAAAGCTAACAACGATCACCCAGCGATCGTTCCATTGAGTTAAAAATTATCGATTGAATATTGTTTTAAGTCATAAGAGGATTTTCCCCTGCAACCACACGGAATATGTATTAGTTTCGGAACTGTGTTAATCACCTAAGTATTTAGACACTATTACTTAATAAAATTTAAATAAAAACAAAAATGCTAAAGCTAAATAAATGTGTTGGCTGTTGGTCCTAGGAAATATTTGTTTGATAAACTTGATTGTTTTACAAAAATTACGTTAGAGTAAAATATTTGCTTTATCTTCAAATGGTTCTCGTTATTATAATGGTAAATTGTGTTGTTTACGTTGCTTTCGCTTGTTATTTAACAACCATTTAGCTCAACTGCGGAATTCAACAAAATCGATTAGCACAATCTGATGAAAACCAGCATATTCTGACTCACGGACTGCAAACTCAAATAATAAATGTTTATGACAAAAGGCAAAAACTTATTGACAAACAAAACCAATATGGCTTCATATATAGAAAACTGATTCGGTTGTGTGAACATTTTGAGATTATATGAGTCCCCAGCAAAAGGCTAACAAGTACCTTAAAAATTATAACTAAACGATTTACAAAATATATTTCTATATTTTTTTGCAATAGAGATCATCCATCTTTTCCAAAAATAAGAGGTTTGCTTAACCAAGCTTACTAGGATTACAAAAAGAATAAATCCAAAGAAAATCCGTAATTCCTTGGAATCCCAGTCAATCCACCATTGAAAAACATTTGAACATTCTTTTTAAATAGATATTGAAAAATATTTTAATATAAAAAATCGTTACAACTATTCTGTGTTTTGTTTTTTTTTTGGGGGCTAACCCCTCCCTCACATATCAATACATATACTTATGTGTGTTTGCCATACATGGGTTTGTTTCTATTTTATCGTTTTTCTATTTGCTTAGAAATCAAATCATTTGACGATTGTTCAACAAAAAGTACGATCTGGATATACAATATGATTCAACTACAATATTCCCTACAATATGGATGTTCTTTATGAAGTATATATGATGAAATTGAAATTCTTAGAATGATTGATAGTTTGACGTACACTTGTATTGGATAAAATGTACGAGTGGGTGCTAAGACATACGGCTAAAGCAACGAATATAGAGCAACGGTCTCTATAAATGCTTTTCTGTATTGTTAGATTTGCTGCCTTGATATATCATGTTATCTATATAAAATTATATAAAATACGTATTTCAAAACTGTTCAACCCATGCCCAGCGGTTTTTTTTGTTTGCTGTCTTACAAATTACATAGTTATAGGTATGTACTGAATGAGAAGGTGTCGAAAATGTGGACTTCCGATAAAAATACAAATGAGTTGGAATACGGTTTGCTGTATATATGTGTAAACTTCGACTTCTTATATGGAACGCTTCGTCTTCTGTTTTCGATTGATGTGCATATTGATAGATTGAAAACGTTTATATATTTTTTGTTTCTCTTTTTGTTTATGGCATCTTTCAGTCAATGACCACGCGAGTAAGGAGTATGCCACGCTTGCTCAACCACAATCTATAAATAGAACACATTTTATTAATTAAGAATATCTAAAAGATTGCAGAGGACACTTACCCGAAGCCGGCTCCGAGCAGCAGAGACAGGACGTTGGTCACCAGCAGCGAGTAGAGAATTTCGCGGGAGAACAACGAGTTGGAGCCCAGACGCTTCAAGCGGATGGAATAGCCTGTGTTAGTCTTCTTTTTCTCGTCCTCATCCCCGGCATCACCACTGACAGCCTCAAATTTCCAGCTTCTATAAAAAAGCAATTATAAATTAATCCAATATTTTAAAATCATACGATAAACGCTCGAAAATTTAATTAGAAAGTTAAGCCTACTTTAAGCACTTTTACAAATTTTCTTGTTACTTAAAGTACTAAAAGCTAGTTCAATCGATTTTCCATTTATTATTAGGGAACTAACAAATATTATTTTTAAATTTGAGAATACCAGTTTTTACAATTTTCGTGAATTATGTTTGTTAAAGAAAAATCATTTCTCTAAAAAGGTATCTTGTTTCTTAATTTTTGAGCAACAGAAAACGAAAAGGGAGAAGTTTAAAAAAAATGAATGAGCTTAATTTAATAATTGCAATAAGCTATTGTCTTTTAGCTGCACCTAGTTAAATTTTAAGTATAAACACTTAATGCCCGTCGAAGGTTACTTTTCACATAATCGCAAAATATGTAAAGAATAAAAAAAGTCGTTAAATAACTATATCGATATCGTGTTCGTACTTGGGTGGTTGCTCCTCGGCGTTACGATTCCAGTTCTTCAACCAATCTCCATTGTCTGCATTCTGTTTATCTCCTCCCTGTTAAAAAAAACAACAAAGAAACGCATTGTTAACAAGATCACCTCGGTTCCGCCTCGATTCTCATTGCTTACCTTGGTCCAGTAGTTGATGTAGACGTTTCTGAGCTCATCATCTGGACAGAGTTCCGACTGGGGGCTGTTCGGTGGACTTTTCGGGCTATCACGGGGCGTATCACGACGGGAGCTGGCCAAGGAAACGACACGGCTCGACTGGTTCGATTCGCGCTGGGCCTCGCGCAAAAGTCTCAAATACTCCTCGCCATTGTTAAATGGCAACGGAGTGATTCTGTCGGGGCTCTTGATGCCAGCCATCGCAGCTGTTGTGCTCAGTTCAATCCAAGATTCTGAAAAAGTAAAGGCAAACGAAATGGGTTAGCATAAGATAGCAGCAAATAGTAACACAAATAGATCACTTCTTTCACATCAAAGCAGGCCTAACGAAGTGGGTGAAAGCTAGAGCCAAATGGTGTGAAATCGAATATTTAGTTGGTTGCGTTTGGTTGTAGGTAAATATAGAGTACAAATCTGTGTTGCTACTTTTTAAGGCAGGTTAAATAAACATATCGAATCAAAATATATGGAACCTCCCTTTGAACAAAAATCATAAATTTCGTCGGTTGTGTTGGAAAAATGAGAAACCTTAGTTTAAGAACTTTAAAAACATCAATCAAATTTAACAACAAGAACATTTAAGATCATTAACCTATCAATATGTATTTATTTAATAAATGATCAGGAAAGTACAAACAAATTCTCTGGCAATAATTTTAATAAGTGTTAAGAATACTTTCATTAAAAATGTAAACTTTGTTTTTTAAATATTTCAATAAATATTTTCGGTAAATCAAATTAAAATAGAACATCTTTGTTTGAATATAAATTACTAGATGACTGTTAACTAAATTTAAGGCCAGACTTGCCTTAAATCAAATAAAACTGTTATTTAATATACTACTAAACGTATATTTTAAGTAATTACTTGTCTGAAATTAAACTCGTCGACTAAAATATGTATTTTTCTTGTTTACTCAGGTAGACAACTACAGTTTTATACGGAGGCAGTGCCTCTAAAAATTTGCCATCGTCACCCGCTTTTGCGTTTGTTTTTGTTTGCCTAAACGTAACAACAACTGAACCACACGTTCAGTTCGGTTCGTTAGCCCATGCATATGTTTGTATATATCTGTTCAAGTGCTCATGCCCCATTGATAAGGCTAAAAACCCCACAACTCGTACAATTTCCGTTTCTTTTGGGCGGATTGTATATATAGGAGCACACATGTTTTGTTTATATTCTATAGTCGATGCTTATCAACGCGCCACGGAGAAAATTTCATTTTCAAAACAAAACAAAAAACTGGCGATGCAATATGGGCACGAGAAGCGTGCAAGTTACATGTCAGCGATGCTCGACTTGTAGATAAGGAGCACAGTCTAACTTCCCTAATTTAAAAATAAATTTAATAGCAAACAATAAAGGAATATACAGATATTTTTTAATCGGTGTTTTCAATATTTTTGAAAAGGCATTTCTGTTAGCTTTTAAATTTCTTGACAGGAAAGTTTTTCAGTTGATTAAAAAACATACGCTTAAGACTTGTTTAATTGGTTGTAATAACATATTTTATACTCGATGTTTTAAAATGTCTATATATTTAGTATATGGAATATATTATAATACAAGCACTAATATTTAAAGGTGGATTCAAAAACGAATATAATTTTTTTTTTTAAATACAACACAATTTTGTTTAAACTTGTAACCATTGTAACTTGAATTTTTGTAAGTTATTGGTGGTTCGAAAGTCACAGGTTTTACTGTAAAAGCAACTAATTTAGACAATTTCACAGTGCGAATCAATTACAGAATAGTTCACATCACTCACGTGGCAGACCAATCATGCTGACAATCGAATACTAAATGCGACGTCTAGACAAAAAGGATGATGCATTTATGATGAATGTTGCGAAAATAGAAAATGGTAAATAGAAAAACCCGCGTCGACAGGTAAACGGATAACCTGCACAGGTAAACAACATTTGAACCGTTATCGGGAATCCGGGTTACAGGTACGAAAATGTGCAGCGAAAATGGAAACAAAAACAAAGAAAAGCGTATCGAAGGGTGGCAAAAACAGAAACTTGGCTTGCTGACTCACGGCACGTAGGCCGCTGTCTCCCTCTCTCTTTCTACCACTCACTCCCCCTCCCTTTCTCCTTACTTCCCTTCTCTTTCTACTCACTAACTCCCCCTCTCTTTCTACCCCTCTTTCTTCGGGCTTTGTTGTGTGCATCTTGATGCGCAGCTGTCCAAAAGACCCTGAGTTGAGCCCATTGAACCGCTTTTATTATTGTATGGATGACTCCTGAGTATCATAATACAATTTCTTACGTAGTATATAGCCCCAATGCACAAAGAAAAAATAACACCTAAATTGGTCATCCATTTTGCACAAATTTTGGGGTCAAAAACACCTTTCCCGGCGTATTTTTAACTCAATTACAAAAAATTTATTTCAATGAACTTAAAAACATATCGGATTTTTTCTTAAAGTTAAATATAGAACTATTTCAAAAATGTTTATGGGATCCTAGTAAAATTGTTCATAAATTGTAATCCAGTTTTCATTTCAAAACAACACTTGGTTATGGGATAGTTTATTAGCCTAGATTTATACCATCACAAATGTGATGTATCTCGTAACATATGGTACGATTTTGGTTCAAACTGATAAGATTAAGATTACATATTTTTATGGGAGCAAATTGATAAAAACAAATAGAGGTTGAACCGGCATTATTTTGTGAATGGCTACCCAAATCATAATATAATTTTTAAGCAGTCAACAACCTCGTGAACAAGCAAGAGTCTTTAAAATGGTAATCTATTAAGATTATACTTTCGGCATATTAAGGTGACATTTTAAATACATTTGAAGAAACGAAACAATATTTTCACAATATAAATATTGTAATTGTGATTTGGTAAATTTTGAATTTAACAATGATATATGTATGTATGTGATTAGAAAACTTAAAATTACACTTGCACCAGCCAATACTACTTTAAAATTTTAAAATATTGTAACTTTGTGAAAAGAAAATAATATAAATAAATAAAAAATAAAAAAACTTTCAGAAAATATAGATATTGTATTTAAAAGTGCAAATATATGATTACTAATATTACCTAAAACATATAGTTGTTACCTCATATATGGTTTTAACCTACTTTTTTTTGGCAAAGTGTAGTGTGGATGTTGATAAAGTGGGTACCCGAAATACAATTGCGGCTAATGCCAAAGGCGCAATTTCTGGAAACGACCGATAGGGAAATGCCCTCCCACAAAATATATTTATTTACGAATTATTTTTGCAAGCCAGACGGAAGGAGCGAAAAAGGGACAGCGTAAAAACACGACTGACGTCAAACAGGCCAAGTGCAAAGTAAAGACCTGACATGAATGAAAGAGAAGGAGGGGGGAGAAAAGGAGAAAGAGTGCGTTGGCAGCTTCTTTGTTTTCATTCGGAGTTTTTGCGGATTCTTTGTTGTCTCTCTCTGGTGAGCAAGAACAAGTGCAAAGTAAACAAAACAAAATAAAAACAAAATCAAAAGCAGACAAAGTAAAGCCTTGAAATAGAATATGGGATGCGGATACAAGAAAACTACAAATCACTCCATATGTCCATATATATACATAAACTTACAACAATAATGCGGCATAACGGGTTACCGTGTTATTGTTATGATTGCAAAAAAGAGAGACGCAAAAAAACACGAATGAAAGGGCAAAGCAAAGCAAAACAAACAACTTACCACCCAGCAAATCTTCGCTTGATTTTGGTGTCGTAGACATTTTGTTTATATATCGTCGGTATGTGTTTTCAACACGTCAACACCCAAGATAACTTGGTTTTATTGCTATTAACTCGGTTTTAGTTAAACTTTAATTTTTTCTGAATTCGCCCGAGTTATTTTGGCCCTTTTGTGTCTGTGTGTGTGTGTATTCGCTTTTTCTGCTTATGTATGCGTAGGAAAATGCGTTTTACTTTTTGTTTGGCGCTGTTTTTCCACCGCTGCACTCGATTTCGCTATAAATTATTGTTTCGATCTATAGCTTACTGCCACAGCTCCGAAATATTGCAACTTTGTTTAATGCTTCGACTGAAGCGACTGGCTAGTACTAAAATTAAACACGAGTCGTTCCTACGCACAAGCTTAATGCGTAGTTTAAATCTTTTGTTGCTGTTGCTACCAGAGTGGCTGTTGCTGGGCAGTGGAAATATACCGTAAAAATATACTAAAATAATATACTATCAAAAATTTGCTGAACATTTTAAACTGTTTTGAAAACTTATCAGACGTTGTAAATTTAAGCCTGGGATATTATGAACGGTTGTTATCTGTAAATATTAATATAAAAAAAATGCTTTTTCTTTTTTGTTGTATTTTTATCTGATTTTCTTAAATTCTAGAAGTCGTCCTAGATCTTAACAAACGCCCATAAAAATATTTAAACAAAATGTTGTAAAAATTTAGGTCTATTTGGCCTCTGATATTTTTAAAATACGCCAAGTTATTTTTTTTCCAAGTGAAAAGACAAAATGTTTTTTAAATATTCAAAACCTATTTTATTTTTATCTCGTTTTTAAAAAGAGGTCGAACGTTTCCAAATCACTTTTAGCCACATTTCGCACGAAATAAAAGTTATTTCCTTCAACAATTGTCTTGGGTGAAATATACAGATCTTTCTGAGGATCGTACTGAGCTCGACCCAGTAACTTGAGAAACTCATGGCGTTCCCGTAAACGAAATTCCCGCGATGCCAGCAGCTCCGGGCACTGGACAATCTGGGCATGAGAAAGGCCCATATCCTGGTGAATGTAGCTGAACCGCTCGACAAGATCATCGGGAGCTGTTAAGGGTGAACAAAATGGTAAATCTTAAAATAGGGGATATCTTTAGCTACACTTACAAATCATCATTAATCGGGGTTTGCGAACCACCAAAGCACTTAGCTCCTTCGCATTAAATCCCATTTCCTCCTTGAGGGTGAAAACAGACTTCCGCAGATGCTCCATGTTGTAGGTAATAACATTAGGTTCCCTGGTGGCCAGCAGGCGAAGATCATGGCCACTCAATCGGAATTCCTTTTGGAAGTAACCCAATCGACGATCTACTCGCCTTGTGGAGAACATCAGCCAATAAGGATTGTGCGTGAAAATCCTTTGCCGGGCTTCATCGGAGAATCTTTTGCTTTTCAGGTACTCCACACGGGTCTGCAGATCCTCAAGATCTTCCTTAAACAGCAGAGGGTTCTTGGTGAACATCCTTCCAAAGTCATCGGGTGAAATTCCTTGATCCACTAGGAAAGTTATATGGGGTTTTACATTCTTCTCGAAATCCAGCTTGAGTACGAACTCCCCCAATCCCTTCCTCTTTTCTATACTATGCAGATCAACTCCCAAGCTTATGAACTGCTGCAGGGTGTTGGAGTTATTCACATAGGCTGCCAAATTAAAGGAGGGCACATGGGCCTCCCGTTTGCCGAAATCCAGAGCCACTTCTGCTGTAGAAGTTTTTTGGGATACCGGCTCAGTTTCCTTGTCATTCTGTTTGGTGGGTATATCCGGTGGTCTAAACACATCTACCTCGTTTTGGTTGGTTCGTTGTCCTCGTAGATTCCGTAAGTGTGGTGTAATTGCCGTATATTTGGCCGCATTTTGTGAATTTTTCAGAATCTTACGTATTACTGAGGAAAACATGTTGGCGGCGTTGCCAGACTACGCAAATGTGCCCAGCTGTGTAATATGTTGCTGGATTCGATGTGTTAGCTGGAAATAGCTAGATTTATGTGATAATATATAAATCACTATTCGATTTTGGTGTATTACATTTTAATAACAATACCGATAATCAATGTATAATATAAATAAAAAACAACAAAGGAAAATATATTTGATAAAAAGTCTTTTAAAATTAATTAAGTTATTAATATACTATACCAAAAATGATAAGTAATACTTCTTTTAAAGCCTAGTATCCAGATCGACAAACGATTACGCTAGCGTAAAAACTTTAATCTTTCAGTGTGACCAAAAGTTTGAGAGTTCATCAGATTTAAGCGTGCTACGGTCGTACTGTCAATCAGCTGGGTTTGTTGACAAGCAGTTAAAATTCAAATATCGTATTTGCGGGAAAGAGCCTTTAAAAGATATTATCAAATACCTTGGCAAGACAAGTCTGCCGCTGTACAAAGAAATTAAAAAACAATACAATTTAAATTTAACAGTTGTTTTTTAATTTACTGATAATTATTTGCTAATTTAAAGTTCATAGCTGCACTTTTATTGTGTTTTTCGTACATTCTGGACCTAAAAACATTTTGCTCTGACAAGAGGCACCCCAGATAATATTAATGTTATTTTGTCATCACATGTAAACACCTGAAATCGACTTTTGTGAGTTTTTGAGTTTTCCCTCCATTTCTTATAATGTTCAGTGAGAAGCGCATGCCAAAAGATTAAATTTTTAATCTTTTCGCTAGGGTTCACGTTTCCGCAGACTGGCAACGCTATGGAATTTTCTGGTATTTTTTCGTCGATCAGGAGACCGACGTGAAAAAAAGGCCCGACGAAAAGTGAACGCCAGCTGTTTGCCTCTCGCTCTCTCTCATGACTGGCGTACAGTTTTCGTCGATCTGGATACTAGGCTTAAAAGAAGAAATTTCAAACAAAACATTTAATTAAACGCAGTTACACTTTATCAAATGCTAATTAGAAGAGAGAAACACTTGTTGCACTTGCTGTCATAAACAAATAGCCAAATTATTCAACATGCGAGTATTGCCCGAAAACCATTTATATTACATTTCTTGTTATTTCAATATAAATTATACAATTTTGGAGCTTTTAACAGTTTTAGCTACTTTTTTTGGTTTTTGAACACATCAAAAATTTATAAAGAGTATTTTGGTATATTTTTCTGAGCCCGACGGTATATTTTAACGGTTCCGGTTATGGTCACGCTAGATCCGATCTTGGTTTTACTATATGTAAAAAATTCTGGAGCATAAATACAGAAGAAATCTTTGTTTATTGTTTTGCAGAGTACAACCAGGAATCTTAAGTCTGCCACCTGTTGAACACTATTCCATCAAATCATCATGGACAAATTACGCCGTGTTCTGAGTGGAGATGAGCCCACTCCGGAAGAGGAGAGCAGTATCATTACACAGGTGAAGTTGCTAATGGGACTGATTTCATTAAATATTTATTAATCTTTCGAATGCGAGGATTATCTTCCATTTTTTGGAACCCTTTGGGAAACGCCCCCACGATCACATGGCGTCAAAAGCTGTGTGACTCAACGCTTATCAGTGAGTTTAGATATATTGATATTGATCCCCAATTATTTATGCAGATTAACGAGATGTCAACTTTAAGTTGGTCCACCCGGATCAAGGGATTTATCATCTGCTTCGTCTTGGGCATTTTACTATCCCTACTTGGTTCGGTTGCCCTATTTTTGCACAGGGGAATTGTGGTCTTTGCGGTCTTCTACACCCTAGGAAATATCATCTCTATGGCCAGGTAAGCGAGTTCGTGGTTTATTTAATACTTCACACAGGCCGGCTAATAAGTTTATCTTCTCCGGTTTCAGTACTTGTTTCCTAATGGGGCCCTTCAAGCAGATCAAGAAAATGTTTGCGGATACCCGGCTGATAGCCACCATCGTAGTGCTCGTGATGATGGTCCTGACGTTCATAGCAGCCATTGTGGTAAGGCATGCCAATTCTTTATGTTATTCATGTTTGGTTCGATAGTTCACATAATTAGTTTAATTTCGATTTGGTAAACTGCACGGATTTTGTTTTGTTTAGTAGTCAACTTTTCCAATTAATTAAACTTGAAAAATTTCCATATCCAAAAGTAAAATTAATTTGTAATAAGGTTTGATCAAATTTTACCAAAAACACATGTTTTTTAATATTAAACTATTCATTTTAATTAGCCCCATGTGCAGGTTATTATTTAGGAATTCTAAATTTATAATTCAATTATTTTCTGCAGACATTCGAATACTAAGAGCATATAAGCTAAAATTAGTTTTTTTATACCCTTGCAGAGGGTATTATAATTTTGGTCAGAAGTTTGTAACGCAGTGAAGGAGACGTTTCCGACCCTATAAAGTATATATATTCTTGATCAAGATCAATAGGGGAGTCGATATAGCCATGTCCGTCTGTCCGTAAAAGCTAGCGATCTGAAACTTTCACAGTCGTCCTAAAACAAGTGTACGCAGATCAAGTTTGAAAACCGCCCCGATCGGATGTCTATATCCTATAGCTCCCATAGGAACAATCGGATATAACTTGCAAGAATGGAAGATATTCGCGCAGTGTAAAAGCTATTGACATAAATCTTCCAAATCTTATTTTTTATGCGTACCTTGATCAGAGTAAAAGCGCGTGACGATCGGACGTCTATATCCTATAGCTCCCATAGGAACAAAAGGGTAAAATCGGTTAAAATTTAATGATTTTTAGGATATTTCACGCAGTATACAAGCTATTGACATGAATCTTTCCAAATCCTATTTTTTATGCATACATTGATCAAGGTGAAAGCGCGTGCCGATCGGACGTCTATATCCTATAGCTCCCATAGGAACAATAGGGTGAAATCGGTCCAAATTTGATGATTATCAGAATATTTCGCGCAGTGTGTAAGCTACTAACTTAAAATTTTCCAATTCTTATTTATTTACGCATATCTTGATTAGGGTAAAAGTGCTTGCCGCTCGGAAGGGTATATCTTAAAGGAGATAGGAAAAATTGTTAAAGGCTGCGAGAGTATCCCTTTTGTATATGACATTTTTGCAGTATAAAAGCAATTGACTTGAAACGATGCAAATCTAGTTTACTTATGTATACCTTATTCCTTTCGCTACTTTTTCACTTTTAGCAATTTCGTCAAAGTCTGCAAGGGTATTAAAACTTCGGCTTGCCGAAGTTAGCTTCCGTCCTCGTTTTTTTTAAAATCGAAGACAAGAATATTTCACCTGTTTTATTATTTTAATTTTTAATTATTTTTAATTGATTGGCAATGTTTTTCGTTTTTAGTGGAAAAAAGCTGGACTCACGCTTATATTCATTATCATACAATCTCTGGCCATGACCTGGTACTCACTGTCGTACATCCCCTATGCACGGGATGCAGTAAAAAAGACCGTGTCCACATTCTTGGAGGTCTAGAATAGATCGCGTCTCTGTACATAACTCGAGAAAAGCTTGATTGGTTTGTAATTTAAGCTATGACAATTAAATCAATTGTATTAATCTAACACTAGAAGACAGAAACTCTTTTATATTCGCTTATTAACAAGTATTTTCTTGGTTTGTCCTTTAAATAAATATATATATATTTGTTTTATACATATATATCTATTTACATTTTATGTATTTAATTTAATCAGTACAGTTTTTTTAAGTGTATGTACATAATTCTCTTGTTTTGGTTTTTCTTTTATAGAATGGCCTGATCCGCTTTGTTTCTGTAGCTTTCAAGTGTTTTTATCAAGATCTTATTTTATTTTCTTCTCTTTTTGCGGCGTTAATTTACCTAGAAATATGAAATAAAAACAGTTTTAGATCAAAAGTTGCAGATATAAAAGTTAACAATAATTAGTTAGACTATTTTAATTTTAATATCGTAGTGCGCGGGGCTGGGTGCATCAATGGATTTACTCCTTGGCACTTGTGCTATATTTTTTGTGGCAATGCAATCCGAAGATAAATGGAGAAAGAGACAGAGAAGGGGAGAAACGCAAGGAGAATTCACATTGAGAGCAAAGAGTTGAAAGAACGGTGTGATAAACCATTAATAAAGCCAATATTAACGTAAGTCAGTGAGTGCAAAAAAGAAAGTTAGTAATGAAGCAGGCAACATTAAAGAGGGTGATCGTTTTTATTTGCTATGCCAAATATGCCGAATATTACTGATATTAATTGTTTAATTTAGGGTATTGCATGTATCAACGGATTAATTACTATGGAAACGGTGATTTGACAGAACTTGGTTTAAACTATTTAATTTTAAACGTCAATTTTAAAAGAATCCTGGTTCTTAATTTTAATAGTTTATCATCCTATTTAATGTTGTCTGCTATTTTTAAAAGACGTTACATACCTTTAGATGGCGATGATGACTTGGCAGGGCTTCTTTCTTTACTTTTTGTAGGCGTTGATGAAACTTTTTTCAGCTGCCGTTGCTGAAAAGTAAATCACGGAAATTAGCATGGAGTTCTAGTGAAAAAAAAGTTAAACAACTCACCTGCCAGTAAACCGCTACGTAGACGAATGCCACCGAGATTATCACTTGGATAGTCAGCCACAAGACAATGTTGATGGCTTGCGTGCGCTCAAACAACTCCTTGCCATTCTTGATACACAGAATGGCTTCGGAGACCATGATGGCGCCGTAAACCCAACACTGGGTGCCGACTCTCTTGCAGCGCGTATCGGTGACATATACGTAGTATTGCCTGAAAGTAATAAAATGCATATTGTTAATGTCTCAAATACTTAAAACATTTTATGATAAAAGTGTGTAAAGGTTTATTGTAGTTCTTCTTTTAAGCCTCGAGCTCAAAAATTAAACAACCGATCTGCGCTCATCTTTTAAAAAGCTAAAGCTATCAAGGACTCAACCTTTGTTGTTTAATATTAATTCACAACGGAATTGAACGTTGATCACTAGTTAGGGAGTCTTTTTCTAGTAGCTGCATAATTTAACAAAAACTTACCTAACCGAAGGCGCCACAAACAGTCCGATGAATATGAGACGACCAATCACAATGAAGTGATCAGGTGGCATCTCAAAGATGTGCTTTAAGAAGAATGTGTTGAGCTCGGTGACCTGCCAGAAGATCACCAGCTGAATGACGGCGGCGAACCTCATCGCCGTGGACTTGGGATCCAGCCAGCGGATGGCCGACCAGCTTTCCGGTGTGAACTGCAGCATGGCACGCTTGATTTTGCCGGTCGTGGTGGATATATCCTTGATGCTAGCCCACTTGTATTCGCGCATCTCCAGGATCTGGCATATTTTAAGACCCATCCAAATACCCAGACCATTACAGACTATCACATCTAGGATAAGGGCATCCCACCAGCACTCGATGAAGTTGGGCAGCAGATGAGCAAAGGTTATCTCGGTTATTTCCCACATCACGGAAATGGCCCACAGAATGCCCATGTGACGGATCAGGATGGCCTTAAAAGCCCAGCCCAAGAAATGTCCCCAGGCGAACACGTCCAAGTGACCCTTAACACGATCCCAGCTGATGTCCGAGCAATTGACGCCATATTCCTGTAAAATCAAAAAATGGTTAACATAAAATAGTTCCAAAGGTTTCATAAATTCAAGTGAGGTAATTTGTTTAGATTTCGAAGTTAGGTCTAAAAGGTTTTAAATTATAAATGGATTTTTTTTTTTTTCTGAATAAATTTTAATTTACGACAAAAAATTTAATACAATTAACATGGCCTAAACAATAATATTAATTATCAGGAACTAAAATATTTTATTAAATATACATATTTTATTTTACTAAAGATTATTAAAAATTCAACTTTCGGTTAAATATATGCAAATTCAGAACAATAAGTTAACCCATTGACAGAATGTCCTTACCTTCTCCATGTCGATGTGGAAGTTTTTCAACTTCGGATCAATCCAGTAGAATATGCTCCTGATAGTCGGGTAATTTTGGAACATCAGAAATTGTAGCGTCAGCAGGTACAGCACAGAACATCCGAACAATATCCGCCAGACGGCGGGATGGGGTCGTGTGAAGGGTCCATTGGGAAATGCAATGACCGAGATGATCAGGAAGAAGAACACAATGCAGAGGAGGCCGGCCCAGAGGTTCTCATCCACGTTTGCCTCGTTTCTGTAACGATATTGCATTGCTAAGTGGATGATCTTGGATTCCATTGTCGCTACTATTTCAGTCATAGTATTCCTTATCAGCATAGCACGTTTTTCGAGGGGTTTGGGGGTCAATGACACGATGAAGTGAACGTCAAGTACATTACGTCTGTATTTTAGTCGATTCCACTTCTATATAGTGTAGGTTAGTATAGCGCATATATATTGTTTTGGTTTTTTGTACCTTCGGCTGTCTGAGTTGACACATTTGGCAAAGTATGCGTGATATTTTTAAGTGCTTAACCCGCTAAACAACAACTAATCTATGTAAGAAGACGGCACGTGGTGCAGATTTTTTATTAAAAATAATGATTTCCTCCAAAGTTCTTTCAAGATAAGGGGAAAAGGGCCTTGATTGATTAAAATGAGTTAGGATGAAAGATTAAACATTCAACAGATTTATGGTTTTGTATTAAAGGAAATATCAGGCGATAGTAATTATTTATTATTTAATAGATTTTCATGTAACAAATTAACAAATCAGATAAAATAGTTTTTTGATTAAAATTTTGTTTAATTTACTGTTATAAAGTTGTATGATTCTGTTATATTTGTATCACACTTTATGGTATGTTGCTATGGGATCTTTCACAATTTTGTTATATAAATGGAAAATTTGTTATTTAACACTGATAAGGGTAACACATTGAGCACAATAAGCTGAATATGCTTGTAATTAAAAGCAAAGAAAACGTTTTTTTTTTGCATACCATTATTACTTATTTAGGAATTACTGTTATATAAAATGGATAAAGCTTACATAGAATCGGATACAATAAGTGTCATTGGAATATTTTTTTTTTTAACTTTTTATGTTACTTTATTTACAGCACACAAGGTTTTACTAGGGTTAACTGAAATTTCTGCAAAAGTACAAAAATGCACAGCACAGATATTGCAGTTTTCCCACCTGACAAAGGCAAAGTACATAAGGTCACAATAGACATACATAAGCTTACAAAAAGCAATGTTAATGCTACCAAATATGAGTGAATGAATAATATGGGTTTGGGGAATTCCTAGGGAATGAGGTGATATGGGTATCCATTAAGACAATTCCCAGTATTTTAGCCTATAGATCTGAGGAGTGGGGACGCTCTTCTCACCTGACAAATGCAAAGTACATGACGGCCAGCACGGAAACAGCCAGCAGGGTGATGGTATGTGGTTTGTAGAAGAAGTCCAGCGATATGTCGTCCACAGGACGTTCGTTGACGATCACGAATGTCTGTGCGATCTCCTCCTTTCGCTTCCGCCTGGCGCCCGCACTGCTGCCACTCCCGTCGCTTCCATCCCGCCGCTTGGTGGGCGTGGCCGGTGCACTGGCCGCCCCTGATTTCCCGAAGGCGGGGTGATCCCCATCGGCATCGCCGGCGAAGGAGGACCCCACATCGCCCGACGAGGTGGGGGTGCCACGTGAATTGGAACGCTTCTTCATCGCCTAGCTAAATTCGATTATCAGATGTAAGTGGATGGCGATGGCGTGATGTGGTTGTTAGGTGGTTGGTGGTTCGGAATCGGATTCGGAATTGGTTCGGCGGCCAAGTGCATGCGGGGACAGAAGGTTGCGCAACATTCGATTCGATTCAAAGCCTCCACTTTTGGGTCCTCGCTGCGGTTTCTTCGGCGCGCGGTTCGGGAAACCTCGATTCCTATCGCTGGTGTGCGGGTCCTGGATCCTCGATTTACGTTCGATCGGCGCACGTTTATTTTATCATTCGCCAGCTACCGACCGTTGTTGTCAATTAACATGCTGCGCGCGACTTGGACCAATAAAAATCGACACTTGCCGGCGGCGGCGTTGCCGGATAAGCATTATTTGAGTCTTGATAACAGGGCGTTGCCAGGCCTTGTGCGGAATGTAAGGGGTGTTCTAGTTTCCTCTTTACATATTATTTATTTTAAAATATTTCACATTCTTTATGTTAAAAAATATAAAAATATATAAAATCCATATATTAATATCTTTCATTTTAACATAGGTTGACTTCATTCCTATACATTTTTTAGCTTACTTAAAAATTATTCGTTGCTTTAAAATATTTTCTATTAAAATTTTGTGATACTATGTTTTGTTACTCGTTGATTTGACTCAAATAATATAACAAATTAATATGGGCTGTTTAAAATGTACAACCGTTTTGCTATCCGAAGTTAATAAAAAAAAATGTATTACTATTATTATTAGAAAACAAAAAGAAATTTTGTATGCAAATAAATAAATTATAATTATTTAATAATTATTTTAAGCGGAACACCCCATACATAGTTACCGCAGCCCTCGAACAGCTGATGGCACTTGTTGACCAAAAAGCAATCCACGATTTTTTATTGATTTCTTAATTTACTTTAATTAAAGCGACCTAAAATGCTGGAAAAGGTAAAAAATATTATCGTAGTGCTCTCCGGAAAAGGAGGAGTTGGAAAATCTACAGTGAGCACTCAATTGACTCTGGCACTGCGAAATAATGGATTTAAGGTAAGCAAATCAATTTCACCATAAAAACATGACACTGGAATTTTCAAGATGTTTATTTATTTGACTAGATTGGTCTGCTGGACATAGATCTGTGTGGACCCAGTGTGCCATATCTATTGGGATTGGAAGGACGTGACATATTTCAGTGTGATGAGGGATGGGTTCCGATCTACACGGATGAAAGCAAAAGTCTGGCCGTGATGTCCATTGGATTCCTATTGAAAAACCGTGAAGATCCTGTCATTTGGCGCGGTCCCAAAAAGACCATGATGATTCGGCAATTCCTCACCGATGTAAAATGGGAGGAACTGGACTACTTAATCATCGATACTCCGCCCGGAACTTCGGACGAGCACATCACCGTTATGGAGTGCCTGAAAGAGGTTGGATGCCATGGAGCCATCATTGTGACCACTCCGCAGGAGGTTGCCTTGGATGACGTGCGCAAGGAGATAACCTTCTGCAAAAAAACCGGCATCAAAATCATTGGTATCGTCGAAAATATGAGTGGGTGAGTGTGACCTATACCTCAAATTGTGTCTTTCTCTGTTTTTAGATTCAAAGACGTTAAGTTTAAATAGGATATACATTTTTTATATATTAGGCAGGAATTTTAAAAAGAAACCGTTTTATTTCAACGATCTCAACAAAATATTAAATTAAAATTTCAACTATTTTTGTGTGTAATAGATGTTGTACGGCTATCGTTCAACAATATCCAAGTATATTCCAAAACTTTTATAAAATGTATTGAGATCATAGGACTGTTAAATTCTATCCGTCCATATTTATAATGTCTCGCGCTGAGAAGTTCAACTGTAGTTGGATGCTGACTAACTGAAAATGTAAATATAGATATTTAATTGGACGTTTCTCTGGGCTTTAACCAGGTGATAATCTATCTGATGTTTGATTTAATTATCTTTTATTTGATTTCCCCAGGTTCGTGTGCCCCCATTGCACCTCATGCACAAACATCTTCTCCTCGAACGGCGGCGCTGAACTGGCCACTTACACGGAGGTGCCTCATCTCGGAACTCTGCCGATAGATCCACGTGTGGGCGTTTTGGCTGGCACCACTGCATCCGTATTGGATGAGTTACCGACCTCTACGACGGCAGAGGTATTGAGAAATATAGTTGAGAAATTGAAATTGATTTCAGTAACCTGAATATAATAAGAAAAATAAAATTCTTTTGAAATTTTTTTTAAACGATAAAAAAAAATTCGTTGTAAAAATTATTACAATAGATATTTTTCTGTGAAATCGTTTAAATTTAGGAAATTTCAGTGATAGAAATAATGTACTGACTTTTTTTGCTTTAAGTACCTACCGAAAGGATTAAATAAAATCTCCCCCCGAAAATAGAAAACATAGTTTTTCTCAAATCCAATTCAAAATTAAATATAAAACACATTTTTTGTTTTTGTTTAGCTTTGGTTTCTTTCGCTTTATTTGTTATGCTTTTAGTGTCTTAAATACATATAATAATAAAATGGTTGTAAAGGAATGAATGTAGTTGATGCGTTTTGGGGAACTAACTATGTACGTATAATAATTTATTATTGAATGAGTGCGCTTTTGATATATATCACTCTTATGCTACAATTCTGGTATTACGGTAGTTATAATTAACAATCAAAGAGTTTCCTACTAATACTTTCCAATTACGTTTACTTTTGTGTGTTCTTAAATGATTTTCTTGCTTTTGCTATTTAAAACTATCACATTAACGTAGGTTGTCTTACTGCTTAATTTAATGGCTTTACTTATTAATTTGAGCATAGTTTTAAGATCAATGTGTATTAATGCATGAAGTATCGCTAATTAGCCGGAAAGGGTCGTCATTGATCGATCGGCTCGGCTGCTTTCAATGTCTGTAGATTGTCCTTAAATTCTGTGAAAGCCATAAACAATGCCCTCTTGACTGACGACGAAGTTAATTTCTTTTCCTAAGTATTACTAACATGCAGACTTCTTCCACTATTTTGGTATAATTTTCCCTAGTCGGAACTAGATGAAAGCTTTTCAAGATCAAAAATCAGTCTGCGGGAGGATGGAAATCACACAGAGAAAAATATCTTTTCGTATTAAAATAGTTCCTATTTGTGGCATGTCAAGAAAATAGGTTTTCATGTCAAGAAAATAGGTTTTCACTTTGTCATAATGAAATGATAAACTGAGATGGCAATCTTCAACTGATACTACGATTTTCTCTGTGTATGAATCACAACTAATGCTTCGTTATCTCTAGTATCATTTCATTTTCTAACCGGATTTAAGAGTGCAACTATCTCACGGGGCTGTTGGGATACTGTAGCTGTGGAGTCCGCATTATATTTGTAATTTTTGCTCACGAAATAGTTTTTATAGATGCAGATAATTATAAATATAGCCACCATTATTATAACTGTAGCCATAACATAAGCCCAGGTGTAATCGGTTTTGATTTGCTCCTGAGGCACATCTGCATAAGTTTTGGGTGTAGATTGTGCTAGGGGGTCCTCCGTATCGTTGGTATCCTTAACCTGACTGGTGGATTCAGGTGCCACAGCTACAGCTGCTGGCATAAGGGTAATGGGATTATCGGTCATATCCGTGATACTAAATTTATTAAACGAAATTTCAGTGGGCATGTCTTCATTTTCTTCCTTGGTGGTCTCTGCTTTCATATCGCTTTTTGTAATATGATCCCCCATTGAATTTGCGGGTTCAGTTGATGTGGTTGAGTCAGTGATAGATTCTGGATCGTTGTACGTGGTGGGATTTCTGGTGGTGTCTATGGAAGAATCAGAACTAGAAATTTCTACGTCGTCTGTTACATTCCTGAGATCCGGCGATTCGGAAGAGACAATATCTCCAAGGGGTTCAGAACTGGAATCGCTATTGGTACTGGGTGTGCTGAAGGATTCGCTTGTTTCCGAAGTGGATGTGGTACTTTCGGTTGGATTGGTGAAGTTATATGCTGTCGTGGATTCACTTGTATCCGGAATGGGAGTAGAACTTTCAGATGTTATATTTAAGCTATTGCCTGAATAAGAAGATTCAGTTATGTTCGGAATGAGAGTTGAAATTTCAGTAGTTGTATCCTCCTCTGCACTATCATCTCCCCCTATAATTGTAGGGCCCTTGGTTGTGCCACCCATTGGTGAATGACCAATATATAAACCACTTTCGTCCAGTTCGTCAGGACAAATTAAGCAGCATTCTCCTTCAACCGAAATTGGATTACTGCATGCAACTTGATTGCATTGATATGTTTGACAGGAAGTTTTTCCATCTAGGCAGGCGCACCTTGTACAACCATTATTCTCGGTCCAGGTCTCACCCTCTTGTTTGTATTCCTCGTCATCGGTTAAACAGTTGGAAAGGGGTTCTTCCAGTTGGCAGATTTCCTTGCATTGTACGGCAAGCGGTTCGCAGGGATCGCAGAGAGTGCATTTGTTTTCTTTGTAGAATCTCAATTTGGAGCCACTGCAGACGGGTTGCTCATCGCGGCATTCGTAGCGAGGGCAACAAGTGCCGGGCACTTCATTTCCCCTTTCCACCTCAACGATAAACTTGTCGCAAATGGGCCAATCCCAATCCGTCTGACAAGGCAGGCAGGTGCAATTCCCTTGCCGATTCACACTGTCCGGTGGACACAGTTCTATGAGGGATTCATCCGGATTAATTATTGGCAAAGCTGAAATAAAAGAAAACACAAAAAATGTATCACAATTTTATGTTACAACTCTAACAGCAAGTCAAAGCAAGTCTTTAATTTCAAATTGTAAATCTTATTAATAAGCAACAAAGGCAATCATGTTCCCAAACAGAGCAGAAATTCCCCAAGGAGACGATAAAATTCCTTTCTGATTTGAATGCCCTTCAAGTTCAATATTAGCATATCGATCGATCTTGAAAATCACATTCCACCCCACAGCAAACCATATAGTCATGATTAGTTCAACACATCTATAGGTAAATTTATAAAAATGGCAATTTGATTAGGCACACTCTTAGGAAATTTCACCAAGCAAACAGAAACCCAATCAAAACAAACAAAATGAAATTTATTTTTGGGGGAATACAAAGTACGGGAGTGACACTCTCGTTTATCATTTATTTATTGTTATTGATTTTTGACATTTTATCATTGAATTATGTATGTATAAAAGGGGGAAGAAGGCGCCAGAGCGATAAAAGGGATGGGAATGGCAAGGTACAATAACAATGCGAAGACAAAAAGATATACAATTGCACTGCCAAACAAACCAGAAAGATTTGAAGCCCTCCCTTATTGGATCGATACGAATCGATCGTTTCATTGAACCAATATTGCCCCAATCGCTGATACTATTAATTTAGTGTGGTAAAGTTACAAAAATGCGTCGCATCAAAACTTGTTACAAACTCTTCCCTATCGTGATCGAAGGTTATCAATTATTTTCGATATTGACGTCACACTGTCGCAGACTTTGTAGGTGAAGCGCATTTAATTGAACGTAATTTAAAATAGATATAAGTTGTTGCTTTCGTTGTTGTGGCTTTATTCTTCGGCTATCAGGTCGGAGCGATCTATATGACAGCAAGCAGACGGGGCAATTATTCATATGTGTAGTTATGTGTGCGTGACCGTACTCGATTGATTGAGAAGCGCATAGAAGGGCGCCGAAAATGTCAGGGAACTGTGCGTGTTGGGATCAATAGGAATTTTTGGGGTACCTTGAAATTTGTTCTCGTTAATTTGTCTTCTATTTATGATCAACCAGAAATTTCGACAGTTGAAATGATTTCATTTTATTTCTTGGATATGTTGCGAATAAAAAAGTATAAAGTATTAAAAAGTATACCAACAAAATAAAGTCATGAAGCCAATCTAGAATTTAATGCACAACAATTTCATAGATTTTCCTCGAAATAACTTTGCAACGCCCAACAATAATCGCTCAATCTCAACGCAAAAACTTCATTCTGAATATAGATTCTAGGTAAAATTGTTTTTCTTAATATATATACATATATTTAAATGCTGAGCTACACAATAAATTGCCCATGTGCAAGCTATTTTGCTTTCTTCTGTCTGCTTCATTTATTTGTTAAAATATATTTTTTTGTTGTTTTGCACTGCGGGTTTATTGACCCGAATGGATAGTGGTAATTTTTTATCGCCTATGGGTCAGCAAAAATAAAAACGGGAATAAACAAGAGACATGAGACGGTGGGGCGTTGGAGAAGGTTTCCAGGTTCCAAAGGTTATAAAAATTCGATGCAAATTACCTAAGCACATATCCGCCTCACAAATGGATCGGGGCTCATTAGCGGAGATCTCTGGCGACGCGATGATCATTATGGGTTGCGATTATGATGATTGTATAGGGGAGCACCAGCAGAAGTGCTACTACTACTGCCCACTTACGTCACCGGTCTCTGGCCATACAGATAGAGATACACAGATGTGCAGATACGGATACTTTGAAGCTGCGAACGAGGCGATCCATATTTCTTTTTGATTGATCTACAGCCGAAGGCCGGCATGCGAAAATGCAGTCCAGGAGGAGCAGCTCACAAAAACCGATACATATACGGCGAAATAAATTCCAGTACAATTAGCAGTCGCTTATTTTCGTTTCGCATTTATTTTTTTCCTGACACGCTCGTTGACATGCAAAGTTACTTAAACCAAACAAAACGAACATTACACGACAAAATACTAAACAAAAATCAAGGGGAGGAGGTCGACGTCTACTTTTAACTACTATCTAAAAGGTCGTCTTCGGGGTTCGAGGGGGCCCAAGATGTTAGCCGTTACAAACGACAAAGACCAAACAGTTGACGGAGTAATTAGACAATGTTCAAGTTAGCTTGAAGCCAAAAACAAAACTACAAACTATTTATTTTTACCATTTTTCTGCTTGTTTCAGCTTTACCCATTCACGTCAATCACCGTGAACATTGAAAAAGTGTCTCTTTGATAATTTGCTGATGGCGAATCTAATTTTCTGTCGGGAATTATCATATTTTCGTACATTTTATGACATTTTAAGCGAACTTTTGGTCATTACGGCAGTCATAAAATGGTGACTTTAGTAACCTGAAAACCAGGAAGACAACAATTCGTTAAACTGTGATTTACTAGCTATGAATCACAGTGATGAGCAAGGGTGAGTCACGTAAAAGTGGTGACTTAATCTAGGATGAGAAGTTGAAAGTTATCCTATCAAAACTAAATAATTAATTAAAGTTCCTTAACAAGAAGTGCTATTACACACCAAAAATAACTGCCCATGATTAAAATAGTTGAAAAACCCAAAAAACACTAGATGCTAAAGTTTTTATCGTCTGAATAATATTATAATTAGTTCTTTGTTTGTAAGTTTAAACTAAGTTAAAATATTCAACAATATAAAAACCATTGAATAAATTATAAGGTTAGTAATTGTTAGGAGAATCACTCAATCAAAATATATATCCATCATATTTATTTTCGAGTTAAGAAGAATCACCCAACCATGTATGATAAATTAAATAAAACAATTCCATTTAAATATAGCTTATCGTCGTGTTAATTATTTTATTAACTGAACTGTATTTTGAGCACACCCATTGACTTTTGTGATCGTAAACAAAAGCTTTCAAAATTAAAATAAACTATGACAGATGTGATTTAATCACACCCGAATTAAACGGCAATATAATCAATGTATAGCCGAAAAAATGTGACATCAGACCTGTGGTAATCAGTACTATGTTTTTTTTTTAGAATTTGCTTCATTCTAACAGAACAAAAGCAATCAATCTTTTTGCCAACGTCTCTCACACGTCCTAAGTAAGCGTAATTTATGCGATTTAATTTAATCGCCAGCATGTAGAGCAAATAATCGTTCGTCACTCCAGATTTGGTTGCTTTCCGCATAGCTACCAATTAAGAGAGTTCTCCGATTGTTCAGTTCACTTCACGGCTGGCATAACCATTAGCCGGCCACATTAACGTTCCGTCCTTTTGCTAATATTTCCACCATTTGATATACCCTCTGAGTAACCTCCCAGCTGGGGACCAAAGTTTATAAGTGGCCAACTAATTCGTTAGAATTGCGTAAACAAAACATTTTCGTACGCTCAGCGCTTTCTATTTTTTACTTTTTTGGTCCGTTTAAGCCGGCGGCGACAGGCGTAGTAAACCTTATCTTAATTATAGATCAATTATAGTAGTGGGGCTACCATACACTGGGCATATATATTCAACCGCACATCATTAATTATAAGTGCAAACTGAAGTCAGCCATATGTGAAAGGTAAGCACGCCAAATGGAACAGAAAATTAACTAATGCGTGTCGCAACTCAATTCAGTCGCCCTTTCTTTCACATGTATTAAATGTTGTTAATTAATTGGTTTGGAATATTTAAAACTAGCTAAAATTATAAAAATAAATATCTATATATAGCATTTTTATTTCCACTTGTGAAACAAAATTATAACTACTACGATTCAGCACTTCTTTGTAAACAATTCAATACGTCATTTGGAGCTTACCCATTTTCTCATTGAATCAATATTTAAAAAAATACTGCAAAAATATTTTAGCAATTCAATAAATATTCTAAAATAATCAAATCCACATTTCTCTTTCTGGCTAAACAAACAAACAAGGCAATATAACCGACCGCGACACGACTTCACAAATTATTTCATATGCAAAAATGAAAACAAAAAAGCAGACCTGCCATGAATTTTGATGGGGGGATGTATGTCCCCCGGTGATTATTTTGTACAAATTGCACAATTACAATTAAATTATACGGCACAGCGTAAAATGCCTGATTAATGACAACCACCCCCTAATTCCGATCCCCTCGCTTCCCAAAAAAAGGCGAAACGAGAGCAAGCAAACAGATGTGCGGCGATATTCAATTTATATGTTTTGTATACAAAATAATAATAATTATTTTTTAATAATTACTGCACTGGGGCCTCAGTGTGGTGTCTTTCGATGGCCATCGTTAGTGTGATGACTGACGCCTTTCTGCTGGGATTATTATGCTGCCTACTACTGCCTGTTCTATGGCAGCCATCGTTGGCAACCGTACGTAACAGATGTGATTTATTCTATTAGGAACATAATCAAATTCCATATACCAAGAAGTTGCTTGATCAAATTGGTTAATTAATATTTTAAATTATAATAATATATTTTTTCCTTTCAAAGAAACCTTGCAAGTCTGTTGAAACTCTATGACAAAAATGTTGGCATTAAAATTAGTTTCGTTTAAAAATATTACAAAGGATAGAAGCTATTGCGGCTCTTTCAAATAATCTCAACCTACTAAATTTTTAAAAAGTGTTTAATAAATGCTTATTAAATTGTCTAAATGGTGTAGAACATGTAAAGAGAAAAGAAATCAAGTATTTTAAATCCCCGCAGTATATTAATTTTTTCGTTCGAATATTTGTACATATTTTTTAATAAACCAATTTATAAACCATTTCATTAATATGGAGATTTCAAAGAACAGATCCACTTAGAAATGAGCCAACAAAGAAAATGGGATGCAACTTTTGTTTTTCTCGGCCAAAAGTAGCCCCCGTGACTAAGTCTCTAGGTTTATAAATTCAGCAAATGATGCGCATTTTATTTAATGGGCTCACCCACTTGCAGCGCGATTTCGAGATCCGTTGGCGGGACATCAACTGTTCGGTCATTGACCCCACGACTGCGGAGGTCTTTAAGTGCGATATTGTGGAGATGCCGAGGAAGCAGGGAAATTTCCTGAACACATTCCTCTTGCTGCGCCGACCTGTCCCAAAAATGTGGGTGGAACTGAGTGTGGGTCAGATCGCCGACAGAAAAGATCGATTTGTTCAGCAACTTCTGAAAATTCGTGTGGATGGCTGTCACCTGATCGGTTTTCGCAGCAAGAATCGCATTATAAATGCAATTATCAAAAAGCTACTGCAATCGGGAAACTATCCAGACTCCTGTCCCCTTTTAGCGGTAAGTTAAGTTATTTTTCTAATCCTACACGATAATCAGATATTATTGGTAAGTCAAATCACGTTGCAGTGGAATATGCAAATTACTAATAGATCATAGGAAAGCGATTTTCGGGCGATGCATTTCAAATACAATTTGTTTAAGACTTTTATTTCCATTTAGTAAAAACCTGTTTTTCTGGCCTTAGTAAATAATACGTTTACCGCATGGTTTGGTTTTCAATTAAATCTTTTAGGGCTTCAAATCAAAGTACAAGAAAAATTTATTATTTGTAAAGAGAGCTAAATAATTATTTGCTTTTGAAAAACCGAACTGATTGTATAAGGAATAATATTTGTACTTCATGGATAAATAGTTAAGTGCGCAGTTTGTTTATGAAAAATTGAACTTGGGTCTTTAGTTTTTTTTGCTATCTGCATAAAAAAGAAAACAAGCCCTAATAATAATAATAATATTAATATTTTTCGCCTTTGTTAATGGTTTATTTCAAGTTTATGGCAGCAGAAAATAGAAGTCACACCCAAAAATGAAGCACCTGATTAAATATAAACAAATTTCTGACCTACTCAAAGCCGAAATCTGATGAATATTTTCCGTAATCTTTTTCTTTACGAGCTGAGCGTAAATAGAGCAACAATTTAGTCAAATGTTCTCGCAAATAAACAGAGCTATCTATACGATTGTTCGAAAATACGCCGCTATCATTAAAAAACGGAAAATAAACAAATGAAATAAATAAGCATGTATACGAATAAACACATAAATTGCGCATTAACCGAAAAACCAGAGCGGTTTCGACGAAACGAAAGTTTGAATGAAACCCAAATCGATTTCCCAATATCATTTTCATTCGCTAACAGGTTCTGTGTGTCTCCATCCGCAGAATGTCAACTATACGTCCACACGTTTTGCCCTCAATCCGGATCACTTTCCGGCCTACATGCCGGAGATGAAGTTCAACACGAAATTGGTCTTCCAGCTGGGAAGGAATACTGGCCTGATCAGGGCCAGTGTGGATGCCGAGGTGATGAGACGATCGTAAAGAGAAATATTTCAATAAAGCACACATGAAAAAGTACATTAACCAGGGGCAAATACTCTACTCTTCCATATATAATATATTTATGCGTTTCCATGACTAAGTCGGTGGCAGTGACTAATAGCATTGGCATGGGATTTATGCCTGGTACACGTTCAGATTAGACGCCTATCTGGGGCATTCGGTTTAAGGTGGAAATGCCTTGTGGATATCTAATGGATATCTATTTTTACCATCGAACCCTGAGATACTGCTGTTCCCCCGAAAAATTTCACTGCCATGACTTTCAAATTATTCGCTCCACATTTAGCCACAATTCCATGATTCATGGCTGTGGAATTTGGCATCAAACTGGTTGACTGATTTCTGCACTTCACTGTTAATTAAACATAAATACAAAAGCACTATCCATAATTTATGAGCTTTAGCTTGTACCAGAAATCAGATTAAAAAAATAAATATGTTTATACAAAAAATAGGGGGATTAACTGATTTCAGCACTTCATTGTTAATTAAACATAAATACCGATTAGCCGCAACCATAATTAAGAAGCTTGAAAATGTAAAAGCAATCAGATTAAATACGAAAATTAAATAATCGGTTTTTATAGAGTGTGAACTGGTTTTCTGACTTTTGCGAGTGGTTAAGAATTAAGTTTATGCCATAAGCTAGATGCAGACACCATTTAAAGTTAATTATTACTTTTTTAACTCATTTTGAATGAATTCCTTTGGTAAGACGTATTTATAAACATTAACTTTGAATTTGTAATATTTAAATGGAAGGACAGAAAAGTATAGAGTGTCTATCTTATTGTCTAAATCCCCACCAACTCTTTTGTATATTATACAAAGACTTATTTGTTGATAATGCGAGTGCAGAAAAATAATAGATTAAGAAAGCTCAGGCCCCTATTCGAGTGCCGGCCAATCAAATTAAGAAATGACGTGAGTCTGCCCACAAAAGAAATTTAGCAGAGCATAATTAGAACAGCGTTTATCAAGAGCCCGGCAAAAAAAAAACAAAAATTAAACCGCACGCCTTTCACTCGCACATTCTTCAATGTCATGGTCACAGAATCTTTTTCACATTCCTCTTTCTTTCTTTTGAGAATTGCCCCTGATAAATTCCTTCTCACACCGCGAAAAGTCAAGTGAGCAAAGTCTATTTATCATTTATTGACGTCTGGATTCGTCATCAATATTTTTACCAGGGCAAATGTATACTGACTTGAGCAGAAGGAAAACCTTTGTCAAGGCCAGCCAAACAAAAAAAAGAAAAGTGTTTCCGGCCAGCCATTTCCATTTGCATTTGGCACAACAAAGTTTGGAATGGTGGGGGTACGGTGACATAACCCAAACCAGCAAAGTCGGGGAATTCTAGGTCAAAATATACCAGCCACCCTTAGCAACTAAAGGAGGGGAGTTCGGTCTAAATAGCTCACTTAGTGGGTTAGTCAGCAAGCACAATTCTAAGCAACTGCACTTGGAATAAATTTTTCAACGGAAACACACTTTGAAAAACTGATTAAATTTATTAAAGTTTTATATTTTTACAAAGATTTTTCTGAGAACGCTTAATTTGAAAAGCACATTTATAAATTGTTTTTAAATTTGAGGAAAAAAGACAAGTGTTAAAGACTTGGAAATGGGAAATTATAGACAATTTAGTTTGTTTTCTTAATACATTTTAATGCTTAAGAAAAGTAACAAATTTAACGTAAATTTATTTAACATTTAAGAAAAAGGTCTTAGCAATATAAAAAAAGTTAATGACTTAATTAAATGTTGATATCTTTAGTCGTAATTATGTATTTTGAATAAGTTTCTTTAGCAAAATATTATGCAAAATGTAAGCTCTTTTTATTTTAATAACTTAATTATAGTTTTCTGCAAAGTGCAATCAACCTTTTTGTGGAAATTCCTCGCACGAAAAGCGGATTACAATTTCATCAGGTAATGGAAAAATATTCGAGGTCTGGCCAGCCTAAGAGAGTTATTTTTCTTAATGGCCCGGGGAAAACGGCTAAAACCCAGTGGCAACTTGCCTTTGTTCTGGCTGTTCTAAGTTCACTTATCGTATTCATCTGGATGGAATTTGTTGGGCAAACACGGCAACAACAACTGGCAGTTGGACTCCCTATGTCTGTGTGTTTATATACGTAACAAACACGCTCTACAATAGACTATCTGTCGTTTGTCACCCATTCGCACCAATTTGATAAGAGCGCCGCAGATTAAGATGGAATTCCACACAAAAGTGTGCGTTGCCACTCCTGGGCTTTCCATAAAAATCAAGACTCCACTCCACCACCCTCAAGGTAAAGTTCATTAGATTTCAGTAGATTAACACATGCTTCCACCGATATCTGGAGTGAGTTTTGTGGAGCTAGGAAATACTATATATCGAGTGAATAAGCGGAAAGTGCGCCCCAACTATTTTCAGCATTATTCACTAAGTCAATAGGGGAAATAAATGGGGCTTAAGAATATATTTTCGTGTTCGTGCGATAGTGTTATCTATTTCTGCGTATTTGCCATTTCTTTTTGCCAAAAAAAATTTGACCATGTCATTTAGAATTGATATTTATATACATAGTTTATAGTAATCAATGTATACTTGTTGAAAACAATTGTGAGGAATTGGATTTGGTTGTCGATAACCTAACTTATCGGCAATCTTAGAATTATAACAATTTAATTCTAAGTAGTTCTTAAAATAGATAGATTAACAAGTGATTTAGTTTTTTTGTATTAGAACGCGTAAAACTTTTCTTTTTCGAAATTGTGAGAAGTTGTTAACGCATTTCGACATCAAGGAACTGATCTTTATTTTATGCTTCTAAAAACTTTTCCATTTTGGATTCCCCACAAAATGTAGTGACGCACTTCAGGTAATATAGTTTAAACAAAAGCTTGCCCATGCCCTTCCATATCCACTATCAAGGTCAATTCGGCCAAGGCCAAACAAAAACGAATCGAATAAAAACAAACAATATTTTGAGAAATGCCAAAAGAACAGGGGGAAAAGTAAACCAAAATACAACCGAAAATACAACCGAAAATACACATACTCAGATGATACGCAGCCATTTGAATTATCAATGAAATTCAGAAACAAAAAAGAACAAAAGCAGAAACCCCAAAATTAGCGCAACACGTGTTTTTGGATAGGAAAAATAAGCAAAACAAAAAGTCTGTATGCAAAGAATGAAGAAGGAGAGATCCTCATGCCATATGGTGAAATCGTCGCTATAGATAGTTTCTGACACGTCATGAGAGAGATCGGATCGATATATATAGCCCCATGTATAGCTGCCGTGACGTAGGCTTTCGACTTCTGTTTTTCTTTTATGGAAAGTATCTCGATAGGGTCAAAGTAAACAAATTCGAAACATCTGAATTATCAGAATACAGATATTCACTTCATAATCGAACTAATTTTGGCACAAATTACTCACCACTTGATTCGAGAATCCACAGGAAGCAGCAAATTATTATTATTAACTTGTCCATCTTACGTGAGCACTTCGATCAGAGTCCAATTGGTTAAATATATATAAACGTATATATAACTTTATTTTATTGTGAAACTTTCAGGAAACGGGTTTCTCTATTTTAGTTTAGCTAAGCTGCACAGAATCTCTGAAAATGCAAGAGAACATAAAATACAAATTAGTTAGAAGTAGTTAAAGTCCAAAAACTTAATTTATTGTAAGTGAAAAGTGCCTAAACATTGCACTTCGTTTTGAATTTTACAATGCGTCAATCATCACTTGCAATTTTACAGATTTTACATTCTTATCTAATCTTATTTTGGATATTTAAATAAGATTAGATAAGAATGTAAAATCTGTAAAATTGGCTTTGAAATGCATTTTTTCTTATCTTATAAGCTTTCTATTTGTTTTTGGACAAAAGTCAAATGTCGCAGTTTTTATTCGCATCTGGTCTATTTGTCTGCCGAAGATCTGAAGTTTTCTGGTTTCCACCCGAGGTTGTAACCATTTGCCAAGTACACTCTGATTACCGCTCAAACACGCTACTTGCGTTGTTTTCTTCGATTCGCACGATAAGTGTGTTATAACATATGCCAAAACTGATTGCCTGATAACTCTTCATTTTTGATACCACACACAGGGAAAGGCACATGTTGAGCCAGCCGATGCACACAGTTTGGGCCAAAATAATAAAGCTGACTTGGCAGAATGGGATTTTCCCTTTTTTGGTTTCAGCGCTGTTTAATGGTTGTGAAATATAAATTACACAATTACAGCGCTATGCTTTTAAATCAAGTTCTTGCTATGCTGTAAAATGTTTACTCATACGTAATTACTATTTAGTTTAAAATTAAATAAAGTTAATAACTTTAATTAATTGCAGCAATATACTTTTTTAAAAAGACTGATAAATAAATGTTAATATAAATTAAACGAATAAATTAAAATATTTTTGGGAAGCGTCATTGTGTCTTTTTCAATAATTTGTAAAATAAACAAAACTATTTCATATGATTATCACTTGATAAATATATATATCTTAAACACAAATAATTTAAATAAAGTTAATATCGTAATGGAATGGAATATTTTTTGGAAATGCATATTTTCCCAGTTTTTGGATAGTTAAACTTTTTCTATTTTTAAGAAAATTATTTTGTTGTCCATATCTGTGTTTGAGTGCAAGCAAATGAACGGTCGGTCTGTGCGACTAAATGCAGACATATTTGTAGTAATTAAATTTCCCGTGGGCGTCAGAATGGAAAGCTTTCTGGCGCGTCTGGAAGGCGACCGCAAAGGAAATCAGATTTTTCCATTATTTGGCAAAAAAAAGCAAAAACGGAAAAAATCCGCCGACACCTGCATTAATGCAAATGCATTTGACCGATTCGCCAGATTTACCGCAGAGCATGAGCCACAGCTAAAGCTACCGCTCATGCGCAAATTTCAGAGCTCAGACTTGACGTTTTATCAGTTTTTGCCATAAAAGGAAGCAGCGAATGAAATTCCATCTCTCGCACTTGCAGCACAAATTGCTCATATTGGCCAGAAAAAATACAAAAATAACAAGAGAGCGAAAACCAGAAAAAAAGGCACAAAGCCAGGGGAATTACTTAGCGCCGAAATTAGGTCGATTGGCCTACGCAGATTAGGAATATATGTATATGCGGACTCGATTTGGCTTTACCTTTACTTGCAGAGAGTCCAACTGATCCAAAAATAAAACTTCATTGTACTATTTGTTTTCAATTGACGGTTTGTCTGTCCATTTTGTCTCTGTTTCTGTTGTTTTTATTTCTTATTTGGCAATGCTCTGTATTTTCGTTTTGTTAGGGTCGCCGCGTTTTGGTTGATAATATTATTTAAGCGGTTTTTCACTAGCGCACTGCACGGAAGCACAACCGATTCGTTTGGAGGTTCTCAGCAAACTGAGAGCAATCGTTGGCCAAATCTAGCCTTTTGTGTTTGCCTGCGTTTGTTTTCATTGGACTCGCGCTCTCTTTGTGCTTAAATGGGATTTTCTCTTAGCTTCTGATCGTGCTTGGTATTTGTTTTTGTGTACGTCTGGTGAATAAATGTGGGTACATGCGAACCGGCTAAAGGCAAACGGCAAAGTAATCGTTGGATAACTTTACTTAAACGCACGCTTTTTTAGCCAATAGCTCACTATACATTAAATTCGGTTTACAGTTCAAAAATGTTGACTCTTTCTCAAGCTCAATTGAATTGAATTCATTTTTGAGGCTTATTAATTAAATCTATGAATTTTACAAAAAAAGGTAAGGAACTATTCGCTAAAAGCTATTCTTTAACTCAAGAAACTTCAATTCAGTTCTTTTTAAACATAATAGATACGGTGTTCCTACAAAAACATCAAGAGCTGATTCATTTCCTCTCTTTCGTAATTTGTCCTCAAACCTTTTTTAATAAGCGTTAAACTAAAATATGATTTTGATAATTTTTGTGGGCCATATCGAATTGTATTTTATTTACGACGTTTAGACATTGGGACATACATTTGTCTATCGCTTCTATTGGTACGCGGCCGGTTCAATTCAGAAAAAGAAAGAGATCGGAAATCCAAATGGACTTCTGTGCGTAGATGATATTCTGTGGACTGTCCCACGAATCAAACTGATAAGAAAACCCTGTCGACAACCGTTGCCGCTGTAAAATCGTTCTTTATATTATGTGCGCGATCTAAACGTAATTTGTCATCGGTTCTTGCGGAAGGAAGTGCAATATATTTCAAGTGGGACTTGGTCGAAGTCATCGCTTTAAATAGATCCAAAGAGCAAGATAAGAACTAGATTATGAGCTCATGTTGGCCAATGATGCATTTTCATATGCCCTTATAAGTACTAACATATATCCGTCTTCCAAGTGCCCTTGCAAGTACTTAACTATATCCGCCTTAGATCCACATATACACATATTTGCGTTATGATGTAACTTAAGATTGTGCTAAAGGGGATTTGATATCCGATGATGATGATGAACTTACGCCGGTGCTTTGCGGTCTGGAAATTCTGTCTGTCCTGTTTTAGGCTTCAAAGGTCGCTATTCCAAGATTCGCCGAGCAGTTGTAAAATTTGTGGGTCAAAGAGAAGCTACCCAGAATCACAACGCGGAGCAGGTGGCGCGAAATGGCGAAGCCCTACGAGTCATCTGTCTATTTGGCAAGAGTGTTCCAAAGAGAGTGTTCCAAACAAATCCCGACTCTTACTTTTGGGAAGAGAGGGAAAAAAGAGAGTGATATACAGCGTTTTCTACAGATTCTTCTGCCAGCGTCGCAGTCGGCAGACTGATGGAATATGACGAGATGGTGCAAAATAAAAAACCTTGTAACACCAGTTTCCGGTCATTTAAAATAAAAGGTAGAAACTTAGTGATACACATTTCTTTCTTAATAACGTAAATACTTAAATATATGAAGTTCACAAGTTTATATTTCTTATCTACAATTCTACATTTGCTCGGTCTCTAGTATAATAATTCCCTTTTTATTTATATATGGACAAAAATAAAATATGTAACTTGAACTCATATAAAATCATGTCACATTAATTGTTCTTTCTGCAATATTTATCATATTTAAAAACAATAAAAATGCATGTACATATAAATAGATTAGTATCAATGCACTTCATACAACTTGAACAAAGCTCAGCTGAACTCAGCAAATTAATACTTAATTATTTATATACATATATTTATGTCATTATTTATAATATTCACAAGGCAGCCGAAAAAAAAAATATTTTGGTGCTCTATTTAATGTGAGAGGTGCTGTAAAAAACATATTTTCTTAAAATGTGCGATTCAACTTTTCGTTGCACCACCATTCGTATGCTTAATATGGACAACATTTTTTACATTGCGTATACGGGCTTTTTGAAACCAAACGCCCGTTGTGGCCTATCGATTATTTTAATAGCCGGGAATATCGATAGCCCAACCAGCAGCGGTTTTCAGTGTTATAAAACACTACGATTGCAGAGTTACCAGACCGGGTGAAAGGGAACAAGTGCCAGCTGGAGTTAGTGCATCTGGTCAAACTCTGCCAATCTGGCAGCGCTGGCAGTACAATGCGGAATTTGTAGTGCACTTATGGGATAAAATTCACAAGCTTTCTCAAAAGTACGTTTAAAAAGTTAACCAAGTTGGTTATAAAACAAAATGAGTGTTTTTGTTGAAAACCCAAAAAACAAATATTTTTTATGGAAATTATAATTATTTTGTTATTACCTAAAAACGCATTAAATACAATAAAAAGATCAATCATTTAAGGCCAGGGAGAACCTTGCTTTATTAAATTAGGACTAACACATCTATAAGTTTCTTTACTATATTACCTCATATGCATATTACATTATCTGCATTAATATTTTATTTATTTATTTGGCAAAATAAAAGCCAGTATACAAGACTAAACTAGAAATTTATTTAAAATTTATAAACACAACTAAAAAGACAGGGGTTTTTCAAGCAATTATAATACACCTATAGGTGCAACAAATTGTCTTTCAATTTGAATTTGTTTAATTTAATTTACTTTTGTTATGATATCTTTTTTAATATTTAATTGTTTTATTCTTACATTATTTCGCTTTTAATTGCAATTTCCCTCGACCAACTTACGCATCTTTAAACATGTTGTGGCGCCGTTGACGTTGACATTTTCCCGCCTGCCATTTCTCATTGTTGTTATGGCCGCTGTAGTTGCTGCTGAAGTTGATGTTGCTGTTGCCACTGGAGTTGCTGCTGCATGTTGCTGCTGTTGCTGTTGCTGCTGTTGCTGTTGCTGTCATTGGCTGCACTCACAACTGGCATTGGTAATTAGCACGCGCGCCGCTAATTAACACTTTCTGGAAGAGCGGCTCTCCACTCGGTGTGTTTGAGTTTGAGTTTGTGTCCAGGGGCCGCTTGCAATCCCAATCCCCCGACGACTGCAAATTGCACGCGTGGCGGCTGCAACACCGCTCCAACGCGGTGCAACACTCGGAATAAAAATTCCATTAAAATCCAAGAAAATAGCACAAGAATCAAATAAAAACTATGTTTAATTTGAGAACCAAAAGTTTTTTTTTTCTACTTTTGACATTACTTTGCGTAATCGATAATGTTATTAATAATATTAAATCGCAATTAAATGAGTATTGAACATTTTAATATAATCTTTAAAAACATTAAAAAGTTTTATATGTTATATTTTCAAATATTATTAATATAAAAATAGTTTCAAATATTTTAACATATTATTAATATAATAAAAGTTTAAACAAGAATAAAAAATAAAATATTATTAATATAACAATATTTTAAAAGAAAAAAAAATTAAATTAAGCTTAATTAAGTATTTAATTTATTTGTGGTCAGAGAAAATATATTTTAATTTTTTTTATTTTATTGAAAACTATTTATATGTCTTCGTTGCCATTTTTAAGGCTTTAAATAAATATTGACATAAAGTCCTTGGAAATTAAATGTTTTATGCAAAAATAATTACATTAAATACAGTGTTTGTATGAGTTAGAAAAATGCCTAAAATATATATTTAAATAATAAGTTTTGTATTATTAAAAAATTCATATGCAATTAAATTTATTTAAATAAACATTATTTCTAAACATATTTAAGTAAACTTTCTGGGGTCAGAAGGGGTTACGCTTGGCAACTTTGTGGGTCAGTCTTTGTTCCGAGTGCACCGCCACTGAAAGATTGCTCCTGGGTTTGCCTCAAAGCGAAAATGCCGCCGCACTGTTTTCGTTGGCTGGCTAAAATGCAAGCCCAAAAATGGTCAAGGTGTTTTTTTTGGCTCCTAGGTGGTGTCTTTTTTGGTCCTGACCGTCACTTCGGCTCCCCTCTGCCGCCCCAGAAAAAAGCGTGAAATTTTAATTGTGCCTTTCGGGGCGTTGTCGTCTTGGTCGATCGGCCGCCGCCTCGACCCGAAATAAAGATCTCTCGCGGCGCACACAGCTCATCCCGGGGAGATTCCTCCTGCCTTCCTGCCATTCTGCCATTCTGCCCACTACCAAAAGTTGTTCATGCCAAAAAGGTGCAAAAGGCCAAATAGTATTCTGTTGTTTATGTTGTTACATGCCTCGTTGCCTGTGTCTTTTTAGCTCAGCAAAAATGTCCGCTGGAATTCGCACAAGCCACACAGTTGGGATTATGCGGCTGTCTTCACCAAAAGAAATAAACACAGTGGTGTCACCGAAATCTCTCACAATCTACCAATTGTAAATGTGTCATAGGAATCAATATTAGGAAATAATGGAACATTTTTTGAGATTTGGCTATTTAATAATCTACTAAAAACAAATCACCTCTTTGGACATTGTAGATAATGAAACGCCAAATAAAGAAACAGAAAGTTCCAATGTATGCAAAAAATTAAAAATATAATTTAAATATGTATAGGAAAATATTTTAAAAAAATTCGAATATGTTTTTCTTATTTTTTTAATAATTAATATTTAAGGTATTTGCTTAAAATTATATTGATTTGATTAAATGTTTGTAAACTTAAACTTATAAACTTAAGTTTAAAAAAAAATGTAAGTATTTATTGAAAATACGTGTGTTTTAATAAAATTCTTTAAAAATAGATGAGCTGTTTTATTAAAATATTGTATTGTTTAGATAACTAAATTACAGTTTAAAAGGAATTTTATTATATTCTTAATAGAGTTCCCCTTAAGAAGTGCCCACTGTGGCTGCACCTGATGTCATCCACTGCGCCTGCAGCCAGCGATCATCCAAGGCTTTAGGGTTGCTTTGCTGTTTGTACTCTCTGGCCAAAGATGAGTCCGCGGCTTTGTGGCTGTTAATAGTGGCTGCGGGCCAAATCAATTCCAGGTCCAACATGTTGGCCTGTCCGCCGGATTGCCATTGCTCCCATGGACACCTTTTG